GAAAAACACTACAAAGGTTTCGGATGCACAAAAAATATTCTAAGAGTAGAAATGGATGACTGGAGGAGTAAAAAGACACACAGCAAACATTTTATTTGTGGATGGAAATGACGGAAAACGTGGGTTTAGAGGTGGTGAGCGCATAAAGAGGTGGAGGAAAAGGAGGGACAATTTTGTCCACGTTAAAAAGTTTCTTGAATACAAAAACACAATGTAAACACAATAGACTGGATACATGACGGAATACCATAGAACAGCACTACGCCCTCTGTTGTCCTGGCAGGGAATTGCTTTTCAAGACTCCCCAGGAGACGGAGAAGTCAGAGAGCAAAACATCTCCGTCCATGCGTGTCTCTCCCTCGTGGAGCTGACGCAGAGGCACGAACTAGGCTTTAGGCTCCCTATTGTTATTATTTTGTGTTCATTTATGTGTTGTGTCCACCACTAGGGGGCAGCCTAGGAAGTAAGTGAGTGAAAGAGAGAGAAGAAATGAAGGAAGGAGTTAAGATGGATGCCTGATTCTGCTACATGTGACGCAGGTTTGAATAAAGCTTGAAAAAGGAATTCTGGCCTACTTGTGGTACTTTCTGATATAACTGCTGACCTTAACATTATGCTTTGACTATTTGAGTCACAGCTCTTTGCAAGAATGACAAAAACTTCCATTTCATCCCAAAGTTATCCGTTTTCCTTTTTTGCTTTTGTAGATTTTTTGAGCTTTCTCAGTTCAGAGTAGGAAACACTAAGTTTTTAAAGTGCAACTTCTGGAGTTAAAATAGAACATCCACCAAGAAAATAGAAGCTTGTGTACTTTTTTGTCTGTTTTTACATGTGAAGACATAAACAAAGTTCAAATATAGATGCTACAACCATGAGATTTGAAGGTAAAAACTCCATCAGACAATTACAAGGAGAGAAACAAAAAGCTGTTAGGAGAATTGAGAGAGAACTCTTTCACAGGCAGAGATAAGGCTGGAAATCCATACAACTTTCATCACTATCCAAACAAAGCAGATTGCATCTTTAGGGAGGAGGTCTTTAAGAGACGCCATCCCATAATATGAGAACCTGCTCAGTGGAGTTCCATGCCAGTGAGAGTAATCCCGGCCATCAGTGAGATCTGTTCTCATGAAGTCTTTAAGTGTTTTTAGAGGGGCGTCTGTGAGGTTGGGTTGCAGGGTGCACAGGAAGGAAAAGGAGTAGCTGGGAAATCTCATGGAGGCTCCTCTGTGCACAAGAGACACAGCAGGCAGAATCTGGGCGTCACTGCGAAATCATCTCAGGGTCTCGCTTGGGCAAAACTTGCACAAAGATGTTAAGCAGAACCAACCGAGGCTACTGCAGAATTCTGCCCAAACTTTGACGCAAAGGAATTCAAGCATACAAACAGGAGGGGATTTTAACATCTAAATCAGTTTTCACAAACAAGACACAGCTCCTCCTCCTGTAGGAGGACTGACTACATTGGACTTTTAATGCAAAACTTCTTTCAGTTGATGTCTGATAATGATAATAATAATAATACATTTTATTTAAAAGCGCCTTTCAGAACACCCAAGGTCACTTGACAGAAAATATGTTCAGAAAATACATTAAAACAGCAATAAAACCACAATAAAATGCAAAGAAGAAAAACAAAGAGAGAAACAGTTCAATAAAATCAGAGGTCATAGGCAGATTTAAACATGTGTGTTTTGAGTTTGGTTTTGAAAAGGGTAAAACTGTCGATGTTCCTGATGTCTGGGGGGAGTGAGTTCCAGAGACGGGGAGCAGAGCGGCTGAAAGCTCTGCTCCCCATGGTAGCGAGACGGGCAGAAGGAACAGCAAGATGGACGGAGGAAGAAGATCTGAGAGAACGGGAGGGGGTGTTAATACTTATAAGGTCTGAGATATATGGAGGAGAGAGGTTGTGGATTGCTTTGAAGGTATGGAGGAGAATTTTGAAGATGGACCTGAATTTAACTGGGAGCCAGTGAAGCTGCTGGAGAACCGGGGTGATGTGGTGAAAGGAAGGGGTTCTGGTGATAATACGGGCTGCTGAATTCTGGACCAGTTGCAATTTATGAAGGAGTTTGTTGGGGAGACCATAAAGAAGTGAATTGCAATAGTCGAGACGGGAGGTGACGAGGCTGCGGACGAGAATGCCGGCAGTGTGAGGGGTAAGGGAGGGGCGGAGATGGTTTATGGAACGAAGATGGAAGTATGCTGACCGAATTATGTTATCAATGTGAGCTTGAAAAGAAAGTGAGCTGTCGAGGATGACACCCAGACTCTTGACCTGAGGGGAGGGGGAGACTATGGCGCCGTCAATAGTTAAATAATGACAACAATGATGTGTGGAGTTCAGGGTTTCCTTTAGCCAAGAAATCTAGACAGACTGTAGCAGTAGCAAAACAATCCAAATGAATTCAGGAAAAGGGTGCTTGCTTGTGTAGCAAGTGGTTTTGAAAACACACAACAACACAATGTTCCACAGAATTCCATTAAACGTGCTGCCAATTCCTCCAACAATTCCCGCGAGGAAAATGAATCAATATCTGGTTTACGAGGAGCAAGTCACGCCAGAGGACCACAAGGAAAAAAACCTGGATCGTTATTGAGTAACTTTCATGACATTTTTCACATGAAATGCTAGCTGTTATCATTCACTTTCATTGTTTATGCTGAGCTAAAGCAAACAGATTATTCTCAGATTAGGAGAATGGCAAAATTTTTGCCCACTTATCTGGGGGTACATGGCAACAGACTAAAATCCACTTAGGGGTCAAAATAATATTGAAACAGAAGTTAAAAAAATGACAAATATTGAGAATTTTGTGAGGATTTCACACAAAATGAATTATAAGCTGTATTGTAACGGACTTTCAGCTGCTACCACTTTGATTTTTAGCTCGAGATCAGTAAAGCCAACCAAGACAGAGCCTTTTTTGTGTTTTGATAGTTAATTAGCTATGGCAGCCATCTGTAGGTGTGAATTTGAAGTTTTGCTGGGATGGTCACCCAGGTTGTATGGTGGCTCAGAAGGTAAAAACAATGGCAACAAAAACAAAAAATCCTACATTGAATCAAAGGGACTTTACGGAATTTAGAATTTTATGCTCGCGATTGCCCCCTCAGGCCAAAAGCATAACGGCAGCTTCGATAGTAGGCTCGTGCACGAGGCTCACATACTGTATGTGCACACTCCTTAACGAAAATAACAGCTGAGACAGTCCCTTGTGTGTGTGTGTGGGGGGGGGGGGGGAACAGAGGACAGGAGAACACGCAGCTAATTAATTAAATAATTTGGTTCTGTACCTTTCTCTTCAGCACAGCTGACAAAGGTTTATGATGGGTCAGTCCTCCTGCATGCTCAGATCATTCCCTTCCCTTGCTTGAAAAATTGTTCCAAAATGAAAGTTGAACCCACATCTTTTTTATCTGTGAATTCAATGCCGTTCGGCGAGTCTCAAATACAAATTTGGGCATCTTACTGTAAAAAAATATACCATTAATGTAATAAAGAAACTCTAAATGAACTATGTTCACATCCAGAATCAAACCCAGATCTTCTGCATGAGAGTCCGACGTCTTACCAGATGAGCTAAAGCGCCAGTGACATCTTTCATATCTGTAACATTTATATCCTTGATGACAGCTGAAAAAACGTTCAAAGAACGGTTCGGAGCAAAAATGGCTATTTTGTTGCTAATTAGCAGGAAATATCTAGAAGAAAGTTCTACAGAAAGTAGCTAAGGGTCCTCAGAAATGTAGCTAGCTTTGTCACTAGGCGTTAGGAACAGCGACAAAGTGGCACTGCCTCTCTCTCTGCTGCTAAAGCTACGGATAGCAAATGCTACGGGCGATGCCTGAGCGTGAACGCGCATGAAGCAGCCTGCTCGACCCGAGCATCTCTCGTTTTCTGTGATTTTACCGAAAAACAGGCAATCACAGTAAAAATGCCAGGGCTCATTCTACAGGACCAGGGCATTGCAGGAGAACGTATGAAGAAGACATTTATTATTTCTACACATGTTTTGGCTGTCAAACTTCCATAATGCCCCTTTAATAAAACAGTTTAAAAAGTAGTAAAATAGTATAATAAACCATTTACTTTGCTTTTGACAAAATATTTGCACACTTCTGTACCACGCACTCAAAGCCTTACAGCGCACTTTCTCCAAGTGCACTTCACAGAAGACCGTAGGGCGCAGTGCGAGTGTTGGGACTGGGCCTGAAGCTCAAAGGCCAATTATTTCTTTGAGACACAAAATTTCACTCTGAGAACAAATTAACTCACAGCACAAGGTCAGACAGCCAAACAAAAATTTTAAAACTTAGGAGGAATAAATTACGAATTTGATTACATTTTTATTTGATGTTGGAAACAAGAGAAAAGCCTTTTTTTTCTGGCTCTTGAAATTAGACAAATCAAACTCTGCTTCTTCAAAATCCAATTCAAAGTTAGCTCCAATGCAGCAGCTTTCATAATCATATCGTGTTTTAAAAACTGCAGATTAGATTCATTCAGCCGCTCTTTCACTGTTGGATTTTTATGCAGTCAAAATGAAAATAGAAACTCCGGCTAAAAATGATCACCGCAGATGTGCAGCAAGTTGAGGCTGCAGGAAACGGTGAGAGTGTCACGTCTTTCAGAGCAAGAGGAGCGGGGAGGTCAACCCAGAAACATGTGCTGCCTGAACTTTGACCCATTTTCTTCCTGTAAAAACGCCTTCTCTTTCCCTCTTTCTCTCCTTTTAAAACAAATTCTTTGTTCGCTTCAGTCACACACCCATATTCTCGAGCCAAGTGGCGGGATTCATAAAGTCAGTGGATTTAATTTGTTGTAATATAAACTGAATATTACAAATTATTTCTCACTTTCAGCTCTCTGGTTTTGTCCATTGGATGATTTTTTCCCCACCTGTTGCATCAGGTGACCACATCCTCATTGAACTAAGAACTTTGTCTCCCCCTAGTGGCATAAAAGCATGAAAGCATGTTGATGCAGGACAAAAAGCTTCCAAAGTCATTCTTTTATTCCACATCCACGGTCAACAAAGAACAAATAATTGCAATTTACAAATGTGTTGCATTTACAGATATAAAAGGATAAACTGATGTTTTTTCTGTTGAAAGACTACATGACTTCCTGCTGGGAAGTTAATAATTTAGATTCAAGCTTGAGTTTCATTATTTATTCAGTTAAAATTACGAGCTACAGTCATTTATTCATCAACTCATACTCCACCCACACCTTTCTGTACATCAATAAGTCACTGTTACGCTTTTATTCACCATAACTCCTCTCCGGTTACCGTCCGACCAAGCCTCCACACCGATAAGGTGAATAAACATCGCTGTCCCTCTAGTGTTCTCATGGAACATCACACGTGTCCATCTTGTGTCGTTTAAGAGAAGCACACGGGTCCGATGTCCAGACCAAACTCCTGGTCAGCTGTTAGGACATCCATGGGGGCCAAGTCCACCACAGGAAGCCTGGTGGAGGTTTGAGTCCTGTACTCAATCACCATCCTGCTCCATTCTCCGTTGGATTTCTGTGGACATTTAGAAAAATAACCAAATGAAGCATCTCGCAGTTAAAAAAAATAAAATCCAATTTGGAATTTTTTTTGGAAGACTTACCGAGCAGCCGTCCTCCACGACGGTGTATCTCAGCCTGGGGTTGCCCTGAGCTCTGATTTCTTGGCCGTTGGCGCCTCGGAGGACCAGAGCCCTCTTCAGGCTGCTGCCTTTCTCGTCTTTGAAGGCCACGCTGTTCTTGCAGTGGTAGGTGATGTTCTGGTGCGACTCTTTTGATAAAAGCTGCAGGAGCTTCAGCTGAACGGCCACCACGTTGGGCTGCTCCTCCTTGTTGCCATAGAGGAACTGATAAAAAGAGGAAAATCAGCAGGTTTACATTATAAAACCTAATGCTCTACATGGTTTAGACACAATGTCCTTACTTTAGATCCACTGTTCATATCTGCTCCAAACCAGATGGGCTTGTTGGGACTGGGACTGGGTTTGGTCCACCAGGATTTACGGGGAATGCTGGCCGGATTTGCTGAAATGCAGGTTTCTCCGGTTTCCATGTTGCAGAAGACTCTGATGGCATCTTTGGTGCTTCCTTGGTTTGGATCTAACCAGTATTGTCCTGTATGAGAGGCAGAAGTGAAACATCTCATCACGTCACGAGATATGCATGAGATCATTCAAGAACAGAGCAGAGGTCCTGACCACTCTTCTTCTGAGGGTAACACTGTCTGATGTCCTGGCAGGTCTTTGCAGGATTCGTCTTGCTGCCGTCAGGACTGCGAAGGTTGTGGAGGTGGCCGCTGAGGGTCTTTAGAGTCGCCCGGACACCTGTTTCAGCTTGCAGGATGTTTTTATTGGGCTGGGCTTCATCTCTATTGAACTCTGGAGGAGGAGGAAGATCAGCAGCAGCATCGTACTCTCCAAGGTCCACCGCTTCCTGAACATCACTGTTCTCCTGATAATCAACTGAAAAAAGCTCCTCCACTGCTGTGGTAGGAGGTCCTGGTGGTCCTGGAGGGCCAGGAGGTCCAGCTTCTCCAGGTGGACCCTGATAAAGCAAAAATAAATAAATAAAAATAGCTAAAACACCACAGGAGGATAAACCCTGAAGGTGTGATTCTTCTCATCACCTGAGCTCCAATTTCTCCGATGGTTCCTCTGCTTCCAGGAGCTCCCGCTGCTCCAGGATGGCCAATATTTCCCCCCTGCCCTGGTGGACCAGTGACCCCTGGAGGTCCCTGTGTAGGAAATCAGCTGGAGCTTTACCATGCAGACCTTTATCGCTAACGTGTTTGTCTCATTGAGTTTACCCTTTGTCCAGCTGGCCCAACTATTCCTCGATCTCCTGGGTCTCCCGTGGAGCCCTGAAAGAAGATTCAAGTACCTTCAGCATTTAAAACCACAATTTGTCTCCTTAAAGAACAATAATATCAGCAAGTTTTCCAATAAGTTAGGTTCAGAAGCTTCTCTGGGTTTAGTTACATGTTTAAAAGAAACGGCTCACAAAAAAATGTTCACAGTCGATTAGACTTCATCTCCGTAACCTGACCCCAAACATTCTTCTGTTAGCATGCCAGTGTACTGTTGAATGGTATATTTGTACGTGCAAGTCAGTGCCCTAGTCACTGCCTCCCCAGTCATGGAGCTGGAGTTACGTTCCTGCCTCGTAACTGGTGGGTTGCAGGTTCACACCCCACTCAGTCTGCCACAGTCGCTGTGTCCTTGGGTTAAACCCTTCACCCTTCTCGCCTGCTGGTGGTGGTCAGCGGCACCAATTCCCTTGTATGGCAGCCTTGCTTCTGTCAGTGTGCTCCTGCTGTAGCTACAATATAGCTCATCATCATCATAGGGTTGTCACGGTAACCGGTGTAGCGGTAAAACCCGGTAAAAAAGTTGACAATAATAATAACCGTCTTGTTTTTTAAAACATATATTATCTCGGTGGGTTACCGTGGCTGCGGTGTAGGCGCGGTGACCCTTACCAGCCACCGTATCATCTGCTGAAGTTGCTGGCGGCACATGCGCACTTTGTTGTTTACAACCAAAACTTTCTTGAAGCTAAAGCTGAAATAATGGCCAAAGGAGGAGACGGCAGCGCTCAGGACATTTATTATCCCTCAAAGAAGACAAAGTGGGAAGTACGGGCATCTTTTGGATATTTGAAGAATGCCGAGGGACAGCTGATAGAAGACGGCTGTCCTGTTTGCAGCACGTGCAGAAAAAGTGTCTGTGAAAGGCAGCAACGCTTCAAATCTCATGACACATCTGCGTGACCATCACCCACAACTCTACAGTCAACGCAAGGCAAGCTAACGTTAGCGTTTTAGCTAAAATGCGTGATCCGAGGATTTGGGTTGAGGGAGAATGCAACGAGTCGCTATATAAAGCAGCCGCAGCGCCGCTACCTGCATATAAACCGTGTCGCGGACACCGCCATGTTGAAATGACGCTATGCATTACGGGGCTCCCAGGGGCAGATAAGAGTTGGTCTCTCTCTGAGAATAATTAAGAATTTAACAATGATTACTGCCTGATGACATTTTCCCCACATCTGCAAAGCTCACTGGAAGGACACAAACCGAGGACAATATTTTCCTGATATAGGGTTTATTACTCAAGTAAGGGTAAAAAAGTATCTGATTAGAAGGCTATTTGAGTACTGAGTATCATCTGAACTAATAGTTTTAAAATGATGACATCAAACAGACAAAAAATAAGAAGTTATGGGCAAATATTGGTATTTTAAAGACTAAAGGGGAAATATGTAAACAAATAAACAACATAAATATAAAATAACACATTTTAGGCAAAATTTAGACACAAACTGAGGACAATATTTCCTGACATACAGGGTTTATTTAATTGTGTGAAAATGTAGCACGTTTAAAAAAATACCGCGATAATACCGAAAACCGTGGTAATTTTGGTCACAATAACAGTGAGGTTAAATTTTCACACCGTGACAACCCTACATCATCATCGTGTGAAGGTGTGACTGATTGCGGTGTTGTAAAGCACCTTTCGGGGCTCTAGGACTCTAGAAGGTGCTTTATAAATACAGGCCGGGTACAGGTATTTCAAAATAATTTCCTTACAGTTGTTCCTGGTAGACCCTGGAGTCCTGTAAATCCTCTGTGACCCTTCTGACCCTGCTCTCCTTGGGCTCCAGCACCACCTTTCTCTCCCTGGGGTCCTTGAGGGCCCTTGAAGAGATTACGAGACAAAAATATTTAAACAAATCAAATCATTTATTTCTTAATTGTACACTATTTTTTGGCACTCTGAGGTGAACAAGGCTCTTACCACTTTACCCCGGACCCCAGAAGGTCCTTGGGGTCCCAGAGGACCTCTTGTGCCCTAAATAAACAACAGCAACAACACTTAACAGGTGAATTTTTGTGTAATACGCTTACATAGAAGAAATTATCATAAGGAGTTAGACACTTACAGTTTCACCTCTTTGTCCAGGACCTCCTGTTAGTCCCACTGGACCCTCATTCCCTGGAGACCCCAGGTCACCTGGCAGCCCCTCTGGACCTGGGTTTCCCTTATCTCCCTACAAAGACATCACAGTGACTCACTTTAAAGATCAGGACCAGAAGGAGCTGAAAGTAGGCCGAGATTCTTGGTTTATGTCTGATAGGCCGGCAACAGATATACATAAACCTCTTGGGGTCTTCTACCTTTCTGTGCAGCATTGCTAACTGTGGCTCTAAAGGGCATAAGGGTCAAATAATGTGTAAAGGGGATCCCTTGTTCTATCAGTGAGGAGTTTAAGATGCTGTTGAGTGGCTAATGCAGAAAACAACCCCAAACATTTTCACTCTCACCCTTTCTCCTACGAGACCATCTTTACCAGGAGCTCCCTCTGCTCCAGCAATACCCTGAAGAATGATTCCAAAGAAAGTAAAATCAATCATTTATTTATTTAAAAAATACAGTAAAAAACCAAGTTAGCAGTGGTCTTTATGAGCCAATCACAATGAACTCTTCTAAACACAGGACAAACCTCTGGTCCAGCGTCTCCTCTTGGTCCGGTGGGTCCTGGTAAACCTACCCCACCAGCTGGACCCTTTGAGCCTTGAGCTCCAGAAGTTCCAGGTTTTCCAGGTTGACCCTGAGGGACAACTAAGCTTAGTAGAAACCAGCACGCTGTTAGATGACCAGTAAACATCAACAGGGATACTTACAGCTGGACCAAGCAGACCCTCTAAACCTCTCTCCCCTCTTACTCCAGGCTGACCCACAACTCCTCTCTGACCTGAGGCACCAGCAGGTCCTGGAGGACCATCGGGACCCTGGCATTGAAACAAGAGCACATTAAAAACTTGAAATCTCTACAGCCGAACAAGAATTCCTCCTCATCTTCTTACCGGGGGCCCATCCTCTCCAGATTCTCCCTTTTCTCCGGGGCTGCCTGCTGGACCCGGTGGTCCACTCTCACCTTGACGTCCCAGAGCTCCGTTCTCACCTCGTATTCCGGCAGGACCCTTCTTTCCTGGTGCACCTATAGGTCCGTCTGCCCCCGTAGCACCCTAGAACAATGAGTCACAAACCTTTTAGCTTCTGATGCAAAATAATGGCATTGAACTACACACACTGTAAAAGGTTAGAGTTATTTTAATTAATTAATTTCTTTTTATTTAACTTTTATTTATCCAGATGAGTCGATTGAGAACTCTCTCATTTACAACGACGATCTGGCCAAAAGGCAGCAGCAACAGACACACAGTTAGCTTTCCACCAAAGAAAAATGATAAGATTAAAACATACAAGATAAAAATAAGTTAAAACAGACATAAAGACAACAGACTGTTCTCATTTACAATATGTACAAGCAATCAAAACAGACTTAAAACAGTCTTTAAGTACTCAGAAGCACGTTGATCACTATTGATTGTACTGGATTATTGAAGGTAGATAATGGAATGTAGGTAGTGAGCTTTAGTGATTCTTGCAGCTTATTCCGGTCATTGGAAGCAGTAAACTGAAATGAGGAGCAACCAAAGCAGGTGCAAGCTTTGGGAATAACCAAGATGAAGTTACTGGAACATAAATCGCGCTGGTTGTAGGAAGTGAAGAGTAATGAGTGAAGATATGACGGGGTTTTGCCGATGATTGATTTGTATATGAACTGATACCGATGTAACAACCTGCAGGAATGGAGTGATGGCCAGTTAACGAGTGAGTACAGATCACAATGATGAGTAGTGTAAGGGGCACCAGTGACCAAACGGGTTGCTGAGTGATAAATGACATCGAGTTTGTGAAGAAGTTTTTTGGAAGCAGTCCCATAAATGATGTCACCGTGATCTAAGACGGGAAGGATTGTCATTTAGACCAAGGCTTGCTTTGCGGAACAAGTAAAGGATGACCTGTTGCTATAGAAACTCAGTTCTTGAATTGACTTTAGAAAGTAATGAGTTAACATGAATGACAAATGAAAGTGTGCTATCAAGCCAGATACCCAGATATTTATAAGAACTGACAAGCTGTAGTTCTGTACCATCTAGGGAAACAATACTAGGGTGGAAAGTTGATTGAGGTAGGTTATGGTTGAAGATCGTGAACTTTGTTTTACTTGTGTTTAAATGAAGATGAAGGTTGGAGAAAGCATGTTGAAGACAAAGTTGTGCTGCAAAGCTGTGTTCAAGGAAGACCTACAAGAATATGAAATGGTGTCATCTGCATATAAATGTAAATGAGAATTGTCAACAGTATGAACAATGTTATTAATATAGATTTTGAATAAGGTTGGGCCCAGTATCACCCCTTGAGGAACGCCCATAGATGGAGGTAGAGGAGCAGACTGATAACCCTCTGTTATCACTGTGTGCGTATGGCCTAAGATATAACTTCTAAACCATGCCACGGATGCCTGAGAAAGTCCTGCATGTTTGAGCCTGCTAAGATGCGAAAGAAGCGGAATATGCCTCAGGTGGTTGCAGAGGCAAAAACCACCTGAGCCGCATTCTGCTTGGACTGCTGATACCCATCAGCTGCCTCTGGAGTCCCACAGGCCAAAAAGACCTGATAGGACTCTTTCTTCAGCTTGACAGCTTGCAAAATCGCCAGTGTCCACCAGTGGGTTTGGGGTTGCCACCATGACAGGCACAGACAACTTTCCATATTTTAAAATAATTTTCTTCTGCCAGTATGTGCTAAAATGACCCTTTACAGGGTTTATGAAAAATCACTCAGACCCCACCGCATTTTGTGGTCAGAATATCACACTTTCAACTTCAAAGTGGTGGGCTGTCACCTCCTGGACTTAAAAAAGTTAGCGCTGGGGTCCAGTGAGATGCCTGACGCAGTCTGCTTCCAGCACGTTTCCTGCATGTTTTAGATCATGAACACAGCTGATTTGTTTAATTTAGTGATAATCACTCCTGTAGACACTAATGAAGGTCGGGATACATTTCAGCTGTTAGATTAGGATGTTAAAAAGATGAACGCACAGCAAGGAGATAGGTTTTGCTTTTGGTTCTACTAAATGGACACCAGGGGGTGCTAAAAGCAAGCAGAAACTGCCAAGTGTGCCTTTATTATCAACATTTCTAGCCAAAACAAGCTGATATCAAATTTGTTTACAATATCACAAAATAGCTTAAAGGGACTTTACGGAGTTTTGAATTTTTATGCTCGCAATTGCCCCGTCAGGCCAAAAGCGTAACTGCAGCTTCAATAGTAGGCTCGTGCACGAGGCACACATGCTGTACGTGCACACTCCACAACGAAAATAACAGCTGAGACAGTCCCTTGTGTGTGTGTGTGTGTGTGTGTGTGTGTGTGTGTGTGTGTGTGTCCCGGAGGGCAGAGGACAGGAGAATGCGCAGCTAATTAATTAAATATTTTGATTCTGTACCTTTCTCTTCAGCACAGCCGACAAAGGTTTATGATGGGTCAGTCCTCCTGCATGCTCAGATCATTCCCTTCCCTTGCTTGAAAAATTGTTCCAAAATGAAAGTTGAACCCACATCTTTTTATCTGTGAATTCAATGCCGTTCGGCGAGTCTCACAAAAAGAAATTTGGGCATCTTACTGTAAAAAAAATACCATTCATGTAAAAAAGAAACTCTAAATAAACTATGTTCACATTCAGAATCAAACCCAGGTCTTCTGCACAAGAGTCTGTCGTCTTACTAGGTGAGCTACACTCTAGTAACATTCATAGTATCTGTAACATTTATATCCTTGATGACAGCTGAAACAACGTCAAACCAAAGAACGGTTTGAAGCGAAAATGGCTATTTTGTTGCTAATTTGCAGGAAATATCTAGAAGAAAGTTCTACAGAAAGTAGCTAAGGGTCCTCAGAAATGTAGCTAGCTTTGTCACTAGGCGTTAGGAACAGCGACAAAGTGGCACTGCCTCTCTCTCTGCTGCTAAAGCTACGGATAGCAAATGCTACGGGCGATGCCTGAGCATGAACGCGCATGAAGCAGCCTGCTCGACCCGAGCATCTCTCTTTTTCTGTGATTTTACAGAAAAACAGGCAATCACAGTAAAAATGCCGGGGCTCATTCTACAGGACCAGAAGCCTAGTGAACTAGACCAAATTCTTGCTTTGCAAAGTAAATAATACATTTATTTAGTCTGGCTTGCCAGGCTACAAGACCAGGGCACTGCAGGAGAATGTATGAAGAAGACATTTATTATTTATTTACATGTTTTGGCTGTCAAACTTCCCTAATGCCCCTTTAAAACCAAAAAAACAAAACAAAAATTGTTTGAATGTTGAGTGAAGAATTTCAGTTTATGAACGTTAGTACTAAAATCCCATGAGAACAAATTATTGATTAAAATTTCTTAATCTCAAAACTGTTGAGAGTTTTAACTCACAATTGATCCAGGAGGACCAACTCCTCCAGGAAGACCAGGAAAACCAGGAGATCCCTGCATAAAGATGGAATTTCCAATAAGATTTTATTCCATTAAAAATCAAAGGGATCTGGATGACTTGGTGTAAATGTGGATCCTCACTCACAGCTTGACCTTGTGTTCCTCTGCCTCCTTTCAGCCCCGTCACACCAACAGGCCCCTGCAAACACCCCGACCATCATTAATAATCACATTTTGCTCTTGTTAATCTGACCTGGGATTATTACACTCTTCTATGATCATTTCAGACAACACAAGGGTGCTCTATACCTGTTCTCCAGGTTTCCCAGCCATCCCCTGTGGTCCAGGAGCTCCTGCTTCTCCATTCTGGCCAGGCTCTCCTGTTTCACCTTTGACCCCAGGCTGACCATCCAAACCCTGATAAAAGTAAACCAGAACCAGACAGGAAATGACTCTCTCACCTAACAAATTGCTTTATTTTGTTTTTACTTTTAGTGTCCGCTTACAGGAGGTCCAGCAAACCCAGCAGCTCCTATTGGACCAGGATCACCAGTAGAACCCTGTCAATGTCACCACACACAGTCATTCACGCGTCAGCAAGGACATTAAGAGGAATTTTAATATTCTGTCGGCTGGGTGTTAGTAGATGGATAAAGATGTTTAACTGACGGGGATTCCTCTTGTGCCTCGACGTCCTGTTGGTCCTGGAGGGCCTGTTTCACCCTGGAGGGACGAAGGTCCAGAAGTTTTTACAACATTTGATGTGTTATTTTGAGACAACTGTTTGTTTTTGCTCGTTCTGAGATCTTTACAGTGATCTGTAAGTCTACTGATAGATTTTAGTCAGTTATGTAATGCTGAATAATCACATTTTACTGTGAAGATACAGTAAGCCATAAAATGTCTACATTGAGCTCACCTTTTCTCCGTTTGGTCCACTGGGACCAGCAGGTCCAACGGGACCAGGAAGTCCCTTCATAGTAGGATATAAAAAACATTGGTTAAATTACATTTTGAGCTTTCGATCGTTATTTCGGGAAGTTTTGAGGAGACCCACCCTCGCACCATCAGCTCCTGCTTTTCCTTCCATTCCTTTCTCGCCAACAGAACCCTGTGAGAAGAAAATTAACATGAAAATTAACCAGCGTTCCCAGGAAAGTTCCTCATGTTGCTATTTGTCTCCTGGGTCTCATTATGCTCTTCAGCTCACAGGATCTCCCTTTGGACCCGAGGGTCCTGGTGTGCCTCTCTCCCCTGCGACTCCCTGAAGTCCTGAACCACCTGGCTCTCCAGCTGCACCCTTAGGACCTGGGTTACCCTGAGATGTGTCACATTTACCAGGAGTTATCACTGGAAATATCCCATTCCATATTATGTTTTAATCCCAGAGGTACCTTTGGTCCATCGGTTCCTGGTGCTCCTGGGCTTCCTTTGGGTCCCTGTAGCCCGTTGGGACCTGTTTCACCTCTTTCTCCTGGTGGACCTCTTTCTCCCTAGAAGGACGGCCAGTAACTAAAGCTGTGAAGCTGTTCTTTACTGATACCGGAATAACAGCCAGATCAGTGGACTTACTCTTGGACCTGTTGTTCCAACACCACCAACCTCTCCAGCAAGACCCTGCAATAACACAAAAACAACATAATAATGTCCATTCTCATAAATGCAATTTCATTTTAAACAAATCAATTGTTGTTATTTCACCTCATCACCTGGTTTCCCCCCCTCTCCAGGTGGGCCTGGTGGTCCAGGTAAACCCTATAAACACCAACCAAACTTTTATTTGAAGATATAAAATATAACAAGCTGGCTCACACAAATATTTTTCATTTTTCAAATGGCAATTCCAATTTTCTGTTGCAATTAATGTCAAAGACACGCGGAGAAATCTTTAAAGGTGATGAACGCACATTTAATCAATACATTTGCTGTGGTCTCTAGTAGGAATGAATGACTTTGTGAATCATACACTCGGGACAAAAAAACACCCGTGCACATATTCCACGTACTAGAAGTGAGCCACATCAGAGCTGAGCTCCAGACGGCAGGTTTTGGAATATTATTTCCTGATATTTGGACATCTTGCCTCGGATTGGATAACAGCAACACGACTCTACCACTGGCTCTGTTTTCTCTGCAATGATGATGTATTATCTCAACTAATAGCACAAGCCTGGAGGAGTTCTGCTGTGTGGTGGAGTTGCTAATGCTAATGGTTAACTTCTACTAGCTGAAACGTCCTCTGCTGTTTCCTGGACGCTAAACCAATAACAACCTTCCCCATCTTCCATGAGTCAAGATGGGCGAGTTCATGAATGTTAAGTGACAGTGTGACGTAGATCTGTCAGGGTTTTCTAATCCTAGAGTTTCACCATCTATTTTCTAGCAGAAGCTAATGCAGGAGGTAGCTGTAGGAGACTATTTTCATGTTCAGCCTGCATGAAAAACTCAGAGTGACAGATTATAATCAGAAATGAGATTTTGACAATGGTTTTTCAGTGTTCCACACCTTTAGGACTGTGCACTGCATAGGATTTAAATCAAACATTCAACTAAAGTTAATCAAACAAATCAATGAACTGACCGAGTAATGATTATAAACCACGTAAATTAAGAAAATCTTTAATATTTAATAATCACTGTGGCCCTCGAACCGCACGTTTAAAAATAAAGTTTTAAACAATCTAATTTGAATTGAAGCCTCTAAGTACTAACAGTTTACCTGGAAACCGCTCACTCCTTGAGGTCCCTGCTCTCCTCGTTTTCCAGCAGGACCCTCAAAGGCAAAAAGAATAAAACAATCTAATTCTAACAGTTTTAATCGATAAAATGTGATTATAGCAGCAGATACTTACAGCTGGACCTGTTGACCCAGCAGCACCTGTCTCTCCATCTTTTCCATTTAGTCCCTAAAAGACAAAATTGACTGATGTCACAAAAGGTCAGATTTGTATGGGATTGATATTCAAACAGAGCTCACCCTTTGACCTGGAGCTCCGGGACTCCCAGCCTCTCCAGCCTTCCCAGCATCACCCTGTAAATAAACAAAAAAGATTAAGATCTTTTCGAGCATTTTTATGATTATTTCATCTAAATTAGGAATGTAAAACAAATTGGAACAATGGAAAATTTCAGTTTGACTGAATTGTTCATCCTAAAATAAGACATTTCTAAAAATGTCTACATTCTCAAACCCTCTTCATACTGACTGTGAAGCCCTTTGGTCCAGGTAGGCCCATGGTTCCAGCAGCGCCTCTGTTCCCAACGGGACCAGCTGGGCCTGGTTTACCATCATCTCCTGCTGAGCCCTAAAACACATGAAGTCCTATATTAAATATTTCATCTGAAAAACGCATCACGGTTCAGTCTGTATAGGGTAAAAATCATGTGTACCATTGGTCCTTGTCTTCCTTCTGCTCCCTGAGCCCCAATAGGTCCAGTGAGACCCTGTTGTATAAGAGGATCATTTAATGTCAAAGTGGAAAATAAAACTCATGGAATCTAACATTTATTTTTATGTAAAGTTTCCTTTGTTCCTGTTTTATTCTCAAAAGTTCAATGGGTGGTAATAGTTTTTGTGAATTTCCCAGAAAACATGACGTTAGTTTAAAGATGAGACATGTTTAAAGTAGGGATGCACCGATACTGGTATCGGCATCGGTGCCGATACCAATACTGATACCAGCATCAGTATCGGTAAAAGTTGACCGATACCAGGAACCGATACCAATGCAGTTGCTTGAAAGTGGCTTCACTGTAACTTGTCATTTCTGTTCACCTAATATTTTAGTTTTGTGATCATTTCTATTCATATAATTTATTTTTTATCTACCTCACAGTTCTTTCCTGTTGAAAGCAGAGAAGACAATACAATCTGTATTTCAATTCATAGCATTTTTTGTGTGGTAGAAGTATCTGTGTTGGTAATTGTATCGGTGAGTACTCACATCCAAGTACTGGTATCGTATCGGTTTGGGAAAAAAGTGGTATCGTAGCATCCCTAGTTTAAAGAGTTTTTGAGTCCAACAATAACCTTTAACCAATGTTAATTTTGACCAAAAAAATCTGAATTTAGTTTTAGTATTTTGACTAAAATTCCGTTTTCTGATTGGATTTTTGTTACCCTCACTTTTCGTTGTCGTCTTTCATTCATCAACAAAATGTCGATCAATATTTGTTGTAATTTAGTCTTTAACAGACACACAAATTTATATCTTTGTTTTGTTTTAGTTTGCAAATATTCATTCATCACAAAATAATGAAAATATTATGTCAAGGAAATTAACACCGCCTTTAACAATTCGTACAACTCAAACACGTCTCATGTAGCATACCAAGAAGTCTGTGCCATCTCCGACCTGCGTTCCTATGCAAGTGAGTAATGTTGTAATGGCGTGTAGAAACGTTCCAGTTTGAGAAAAGCTGCTTTAACACATCATAAACACATCCTTCACAACCCACTTCAGTGTCTGCTATATATGAATGTCGGTAGGGGTAATGCTAATCATAGAAAAACACTAGCTCGAGCTACTGCTAACGCTAGCCTGATCTACTGCTAATGTCATTGTTGGACGAGAGGATAGCAACAATGATTGACGGGGCACATGTTCCAGGATGGACAGGGAATATCCAGACTTTGAATGAATACCATAAAGAGCCATAACTTGACTGTTGAGTTTTCCGGATACTGTACACAGATTTTCTAGCTTCAGGTAGCATCATAGGGACGCTGAGGTTAGTAAACTTAAAGGCATAAAAATACCTCCCAAAACATATCCAATTTAGTGTGCAGAGTTGTGTCTGTCTTACCCGTGCTCCTGTTAAACCTGGCTCTCCATTGCGTCCTGGGTCTCCAGGTAAAGCTTTACCACCAGGAGATCCTGGCAGCCCTCTTTCTCCTTGAGCACCCTTTCAATTAATGAATCAAAAATTGAACAACACTCAAACAGATTTGCAGTCAATTTAATGGTAAAAACTTTTTGCAAATGACCTTCTGGCCTGGTAAGCCATCGGCACCGGGGAAGCCTCTGTTTCCTGGTGACCCCTAAAATAAAATTAAAATAAATAACATGAAAAGTGTTATATATATATATATATATATATATATATATATATATATATATATATATGAAATTTTTTATCATCAGGCTACGCACTGCCTCTCCTGGTGGTCCTGGAGGCCCGATGGATCCAGCATCACCTCTGGGTCCACGCTTTCCATCTTCTCCCAAAGGACCTATTTGGCCCGGCAGACCATGTTCACCCTAACACCAATCAGTCAGTTCATTTTAGACATAAACATAGAGTCCTACAAAGACTTAACTTTTATTTGATGATGATTTTTGTCCTTACTCTCTCTCCTTTGAGGCCAGGTTCTCCTTTTAGTCCAGGAATTCCACCTTCACCCTGTTTTGAGTAGAAAGGTAAAATCACAAATTGAAATTGAAACACCTATTATTTTCAAGAATCAATTGTACTTTTCAACTTTTTCATAAATTTAAATCATTTTCTGAACCCAATATGTGCTAAAATTACTCTTTTTACTAGGACCCCCATCACCCTATGTGGCCAGAATATCGCACTTGCAACTTCAGAGTGGCGGGCTACCTCCTGTTGGACATAATAAAGTGGAGCTGACATGCTAGCACTGCAGACTGCTTCCAGCACATTTCCTGCATGTTTTAGATCGTGAACACAGCTGATTTGTTAGATTTAGTGATGAATCACTCCTGTAGACACTAATGAAGACTGGGAGACATTTCAGCTGTTAGATCAAGGAGTTAAAAAGACGAACGCACAGCGAGGAGAAAAGCTTCACCTTTGGTTCTACTAACCGGACAGTAGGGTGTTAAAAGCAAGTCAAAACTGCAAAGTCTCCCTTTAACAAATCACCAAGGGAAACCCAGACTTCCTTCTCCCCAGAGACACTCTCCACCTTCTCCTGGGTGATCCCAAGGCATTGCCAGAATAGAGAAGATTAGTAATCTCTCCCAGGGTCTTGTAGCTATTAATTAAGGTACATATGGTACTAGTTTTTTTAAATTGCCCTTTATTCATTACAGTCTCCTCCTTCTGCTTGGAAAACCTCCAGATGAAGCTGACCAGATGAAGCTGACCAGGAAGCAATCTATTTAGATGCCCGAACCTCAGCTCACTGCTTTCATTGAGAAAAGCAGTAGCTCTACTTCAATCCCAGCCAACCTACAGAGAAAGACCACTTCAGCTGCTTGGATCCATGATCCTTCTTTTTTTGTATGACCTTCTTCACCGCTCTCTCTTTATTCTGCTCTCCCCACCAATTCCACCTTCCTCAGGATCCACTGATTTCCTTCTTTCCTGTTCACTCTCTCTCTTTCTTAGCACTTTTTAAAATCGCAATTGCCTATTTTTGCTCATTTTAAATATATTTTTAAACATTTTCTAAATGCATTTTTATATTTTTACAGTTTTGGCTTTTGTGAAGCGCCTCGTGATTTTCATCTTGAGAGGCGCTACAGAAATTATTTCTTCTTCTTCTTCTTCTTCCATAACTCAGGAACAGGTCTTATTCCTGGCCTGGAAGGGAGAATTCCATCCATCCTTTATAGATAAAAAACCAGACCTCAGATATGACAACATCATTGCCAACATGGAGCTAAGGGAGGATACTGAGGAAGATGACCTTCAGCAGACTGAGACATCCCAGATGTAAAACATTATTCTACCGCAGGTCAGGTCATTCATCCCCTCTGCAGTAAGAGTGTATAACTCCTCAGTTTAACTGGTACCGGCATTATCCTGGTACGCAGCCACATCAATGCAATATTCAGTTTGTGTTCAATACTTGTGCAATACCGGATGTACATTAGTATGACTGAGTCCTTTACAGTATGCTGCATAGTTCTGGAACCCACATTCTTCAGTTTTATTTGTAGTTTTTAGTGGTCTAAGGTTACAATAATATCTTACTACCTATGAGTACATACATGTATCTTATTCTCTTAAGTGTCAGTGCAGCTGTAACAAGTGAATTTGTCCACTGTGGAATCAATAAATTATATTCTATTCTTGTCATGACTCCTTGTCTTTCATCCTCCTCTGCCTCTGCTGCCATGACCTGTTTCCACAGCAACCTCAGCCTGCACCTCATCAACTTCATTCATCTCACCTGTTCCTGTAATCAGCTCATCTCACACACCTGCTCCCTCTGCTATTTAACTCCCAGCCTGCTCCCCAACCAGTGCCAGATTATTGAACGCTCTCTGCCAGTAGATCTTCCAGCCTCTCTCCTTGCCTGATCTCAGCCTCCGGACCTCGTTTTCACGCCTGACCCCTGCCTTGAGCTCTGCCTGCCACCACGACCCTCGCCTGTCTTCTACCCCGTCTCCAGCCTGCTCCCCGTACCTGCTTGTCCCGATCTGGTTTTGACCCACGCCTCCTCTCCAACTCTGTCTCCTGCCTCGCCCTCTTCGGTAATGCCACATTTGATAAAGACTTTTTATGGAACCTTTTGCTGTGTTTGGTGTCATCACGGGTCTTCCAAGTTCTGAACGTGACTATTCTATTCTATTCTATTCTATTCTATTCTATAAAACCCTCAGTTTTTCACACCAGACACCCTCATCTCCTTAAGATCCACCCCATGAAACCCTCAAACAGGATCAGACACAAATGCCATTGCTGGAGGATCCAGACACTGATCTTGCTTCAGGTGTAATGGGACAGGATTGCCCTTCAAAGTTACTTCATTGCTGCTCACACACCACAAACTGAAACAAAATTTTTTATTTCAATTCAAATACCAATTGGCCTTTTGGTCCTGCTGCTCCCGTGGTTCCCTGGGGGCCAGGAGGGCCAGCTGGACCCACCAACCCCGGTGGACCCTGAACACCTGCAATGCCCTTTAAAATAAGAACATTACGTGTTAAAATAGTACCGAACTTAATTGAGCGCATGATGTTTGCTTGAAAAGCAAATGTTCTGACTTACAGGTGAGCCACGAGCGCCAGGTGCTCCATCGGGCCCGGAAGCACCCTATTCACATTTTAATATATAATTATTCATTTAATTTTAGCCTATAAAAAAGCTAAGAAAAAGCATATATATTAGCACACCTGCTGCCCTGTGGGTCCCGGTGGTCCTGCATGTCCGCCATCCCCCCTGGGGCCTTGCTGACCTTGGCTTCCTCTCCCACCTGTTGGTCCTGCTTCACCCTACGTCAGTCAACAGATTCAGGATCAAGTTCAACACATTTTCCTGTAGAACCTCAAGAACTAGAAAAAGTTCAGGAGGTCAGAAGTTCCACAAATAGGGTCAACTTTTTCAGCTGTGCAAATTAATTTACTCCTGTGATGGTAATTAAGTAGTATGTTGTTATCCTAGAAATCTAGACAGACAGTAGCAACTAAAGGATTTTGTTCTGCAGGTCAGCCTAGCCACGCTCTGTTGGAGCCTCAGCAGGCCCGAGCAGTTTTATCAGTTAGGTGGGGGTTGATGCAACTGAGCAAAACAACAAAGATGGCGGTGGCTCATTTAAAATGGCTTTGGCATCCACTTTGGACGATTTAGGCTTTTCTTTGAGTCAAGAGCAGATAGAGGCACTTGAGTCCTTTATTTAGAAAAAGGATGTGTTTGATTCTTCAACAGTGTATGACGGCCTCCTTCACTGACATCCGTAGCGGTGAGTACGCCACGTTCATTGTCTGATACCTTAGGTGGGAGCCATCCATCAGCTCCCTGATCAAAAAGGCCCAGCAGAGGATGTACTTTCTGCGGCAGTTGAAAAAGGCCAAGCTGCCGGCCCAGATGATGGTGCAGTTTTACACGGCCATCATTGAGTCCATCCTCACCTCCTCCATCGCTGTGTGGTACGCTGGAGCCACAGTGAGGGACAAACATAGACTGCAGCGCATTGTGCGCTCCGCTGAGAAGGTGATTGGCTGCAGCCTTCCATCTCTCCAGGACCTGTACGTCTCCAGAACTCGGGGGCGTGCAGGTCGGATAACAGCTGACCCTTCGCACCCGGGTCACAGACTTTTTGAGACGCTTCCCTCAGGCAGGAGGTTACGGTCCATCCGGACCAGAACCTCCCGCCATAAGAACAGCTTCTTTCCATCCGCCGTTAGACTTGTGAACAGCTTATAAACACACAACCATGCTCGTCTTCTGTACTCGACACAACGTCACGTTATCGGCCATGTTACCATTACCTGCCATTTTTTATAGCTGAAAGTTTTATTCTAGTTTTTTTTTATTATATTTTATTCATTCTATTTTTAATCTTATTATTCATGTTATATGTAGCACATTAGTACCGAAGCAGGTTCCTAGTTTGTGAATTGTTTGTTCACTGACAATGGCAATAAACCTATTTTGATTCTGATTCTGATAGCATGGGGAGACAGTTTGAAAGATAACAGTGTTTCCCTTACATAGGCGCAGGCGTGGTGCTGCGCCACAGATGAAAATCTAGCCCCACGCCTAAGATATCCTCACACACACTCACACACAGTCCCACGGAAAGAAAGAGCTCTGGTCACAGACAACACATGGCAGCTAAACGGTCCACGAGCAACGACCCCCCCAATGGACAATGCTACATGGTGGCGCAGTGGTTAGCACTGTTGCCTCACAGCACGAAGGTTGCAGGTTCGAAACTTGGCTGCGGCCCTTCTGCGTGGAGTTGCGTGTTCTCCCCATGCATGCGTGGGTTTCCTCCGGGTACTCCGGTTGCCCCCACGGATCACAACATGCCCTATAGGTTATAAATTGTAAGTCGCTTTGGATAAAAGCGTCTGCTAAATAAATAAACAAACAACGCACAGCAGCGAAACGCACTCATGACACACCCGCGCCACAGCTGGAAACATTTCTAGGGGAATCACTGGATAAGCATACAATGCTGGTCCAGGATCCAACTAGCCTCCGATGCTGGACTAGCATACCAGCATCCAAAACGCAGCCCATGCTGTTTTTGATCAGCAGAGCTGTGCTAGCTGTATTAGCTAGCTATGTTAGCATTTTGTGCCGAGTCAGCTGAGTTAGTTCAGGGACACTGAACAATGAACTAAACTGTTCAATCGCTGGAGGGGATAAACACCAGGGATTTCACTTATTGAGCTAGCTTACACACAAAACAGGGTCTGAGAATTGCTTTTGTCATTTTCTACGCTAACATTGTGATTTGTAGAGAAAAGCGTGAGGATGATGATGATGATTAAACTCTGACACTGTCGTAAGAAAACTGGTGCAGTTGGTGAGATGGTAACATGATGAACTTAAGCCACATTTTACGACTTGTAGTCCCAGGCATGTACACGAGCGCGTGCGTGAGCGTGCACACACACACACACACACACACACACACACACACACACACACACACACACACACACACACACACACACCATTGAAGGTTTTTCTTTCATTGAATGAAGAGTATCAACAATTTAGTCCACGTTTGTCTAATTAGCAAAATACATTTTTAACATTCTTTTGCAACACTTTTTTGAAAACATATTTAGTGAAATCCAGCCTTGGAAATCGTAACTTTTTTTTTTCAGCTGAGTTTTTGATACTTCTCACACACGTCAATCAGCGATAATGTGCCTCTGGCCGGTAGCAGAAATCAGCTCCCATACCCCCGAGTCTTGCTAACTTTGATTTTTAATCATCACTCTTAAAATCCTAATAATCACAACTTTACACTTGTAGCGTCATGAATGGCCTTATATTTGTGACCCAAAGGTCACACTTTCCCAGCTGGGTCGAGCTGGGTCGTGCCGTAACTTTTGCTCCACAGATTACCCATCAGGAGCCGTGAAGTCTGCATAACATCATTTTTATCTGGCTGCTTTTCCGTCCCAAGATGATGGACACTTCAAGATTTTAAAATAATAATTTTAAAATAATAATTTAATCAACTGTTTTACTGTTTATTACCATAATCATAAATAATCATCTTGGTTCAGTATAAATATATTTAAATTACTGAAATGACTTATTATTCTTTGGATTAATAATAATTATTAGTCATGATAATCAGTAATGTGTGATCAGTAAACAGAAGGTCATTTGTACGTGTACATACCATGCAGAGGGTGAATCTAAGGTAAAGGTAAACCACCTCACATGTCTTTACTTCATAACACTGAGCTTTCTCTCTTTGAAAGAAACCTTCTGAGATTCATTCACGCATCCAAACCTCGCATTCCACTTTAGCTTTCCATCCAGACACAGGTTTGTTTTAATAACAAGTTTTAATATCAAGCTGTTTCAAATTGTCATTTCAAATTGTCATTTTTAAAAGTGTTAGTAATAAATTCTTAACTTTTTAAAAACCTGACTCTTCTCTGAAATGAAAAAAAAATTAATTATCTTAAATTAAACATTAATCTCTGGATTAAATATAGACCAAGCTCGTTGGTGTATGAACTTCTATCGAATATATTAATATCCTAGATATTGATATATGATGGAAGCTTCATTTGTTAACTTGTTTGATCTTTTCTCAGGATCTAACCAAACTGATAGCAAACAGTGTTAAATCCTAGTATGTAGCTTAACCACGCTACGCACTTCATAGTTACAACATTCAAAAATAACTGTAAAATGCATAATTAGAGGGATATTTACAATTTTAGATATGAAAACAGAAAAACCTTCAAATTTAGATTTACAAAAGTGAAATTCTAACAATTTTGACATTATTATCTAAATAAGAAAAAAGATAACAGTCAAAATCATTGTCATGACATAGCATGTAACTATTTTTACCTTTAATCCCGGACTACCGGGAAATCCAGGCATTCCTGGGATTCCTATGGGACCCTGCAGTTTAAAAAACAGTATTTAGAGTGTAAAGTGTGACTGGTTCAGTCAATCCTCAGCAGCATGCAACATCCTGTGTATGAGTCATCAACATAAACTAGGTGTGTTCAGGCAGGAAAACATGTAAAGCATGCACGCCAGTGAGCTATGGAGAAGAACCGGGAAAGTGAGGGTTAAGTGATGCTGAAACATCACATAATGTGACAAACTTTGTAAAGTAATCTTTAAAGAGGCTGAAATAATCCAAAATAATTTACTCTTTGCTGTTTTTTTAAGTTATTCTAACTACTTCTAAAGATTAAAAATACAAACGTTGAGAGGTGTTTTCAAATGTAAATTATTTTCCTACCAGAGGTCCAGGTTTGCCAACATGTCCTGGTGTACCACGTTTACCCTGAAACAGAAGCACAAACCTTCAATTGTCACTTTTTGACACACAAAAAAACCAAACTGTTGAATTTGATTCATACCAAAGGACCAGTTGGTCCAATCCTGCCTCTTTCTCCTTGCAAACCAGCCGGTCCCTGAAACAAAAGATGGGTTTTAGCGTCCATGAGGCTGAACTCGATGCTGTGGATTGTGAACGGGATTATTTATCACTGTTCTTGTTGCCTACCAGCGGGCCGGGGGGACCCATGGTACCCGGAGTACCAGAAGTTCCCTAAAAAACACAAAAACACATTTGTTGAATTTGGAAAAATCTAACGGCTTCCTACTATTCCCTACAATCTCAAGAATTCCAGGACCAGGAAGCTGTTTTGTACCTTGGTTCCGACTGCTCCGAGCTCGCCTTTGGGTCCGTCAAGACCAACACTTCCCTGTTGGGGAAGTTAGAATTTAAATCTTGGTTACAATAATTTACATAAATCAAAAGCTGAACTTTAAAAATGAAGCTTTACTTTGGGGCCTTTCCGTCCTGGAAGACCTGGGAGCCCCGGGAATCCTCTTGCACCCTGTGTTTAAAACAAATCCCACCATTTCACTTCTGCTTTTCTAACACATTTAATTAAAAGCTAATTTTGGTTATGTTATGGTAGTTACCACTGATCCTGGAAATCCTACTTCTCCTGGTGCACCTGCAGGTCCAGGTTCTCCCTAGCCAGAGACCAATTTGGATTTTAAACACTTTTCTCTGATAAATCCAATGACATGTTGTGAATCTGACTCACATCAGGTCCTGGTTTTCCTGGTGGTCCATCAGGCCCTCGATGACCTGGCTCACCCTACAAAACAATTCCATTGAAGTTCATCAGGATTAGCTCAGTATCAATCCCCATAAGACAAAGTTCATCCTACCATTGGTCCTGGATCTCCAGCCTCTCCAGGAATTCCTTGACCACCAGTTGCACCCTGTGACACATAAGACCCTTTTTTTCAGATACAAACATTTCTAATTTATAACATTTTTATATCAGATTCTACAAGAAAAAAAATCTAAATGTTGTTTAAAGTTGAAAGGAAAAACCTACTGGGGGGCCCGGGGGGCCTTGAAGTCCTCTTGGTCCTGCTTCTCCCTGTCACAGCATCATTTCATAGTGAGTAGATAAAACTGGATGAGCTTTTCAGCATTAGGTAACTTTTTTTTAATGATGGCCAAAAGTGAAGCTTTATTTTTTCACTTTTAATCCCTTGGTGTGAAAATTTTTGTCACGATTTTGTCTAATTTCTTTATAAAATGACAAAAACAAAAATTCAAAACAATAATGTGAAAATGGATATTATGAATAAAATTTTACGTAAATCTGAACAATAAAGGCAACATGTCTAAACTAAACACTTGGCTAACAGGAAAATTCAAATGCCTGTAAAAGAAAAGTAGCCTAACTTGTAAAATGGTCCCCTATCCAAAATCTTTGGTTAAAGGGACTTTATGGACTTTTGAATTTTTATGCTCGCGATTGCCCCCTCAGGCCAAAAGTGTAACGGCAGCTTCGATAGTAGGCTTGTGCACGAGGCGCGCATGCTGTACGTGCACACTCCTTAACGAAAATAACAGCTGAGACAGTCCCGTTTGTGTGTGTGCGTGCGTGTGTGTGTGTGTGTGTGTGTGTGTGTGTGTGTGTGTGTGTGTGTGTGTGTGTGTGTGTGTGTGTGTGTGTGTGTGTGTGTGTGTGTGTGTGTGTGGCCCGGAGGACAGGGGACAGGAGAACGTGCAGCTAATTAATTAAATAATTTGGTTCTGTACCTTTCTCTTCAGCACAGCCGACAAAGGTTTATGATGGGTCAGTCCTCCTGCATGCTCAGATCATTCCCTTCCCTTGCTTGAAAATTTGTTCCAAAATGAAAGTTGAACCCACATCTTTTTTATCTGTGAATTCAATGCCATTCAGCGAGTCTCAAATAAAAATGTGGGCATCTTACTGTAAAAAAATATATCATTAATGTAAAAAAGAAACTCTAAATGAACTATGTTCACATCCAGAATCAAACCCAGGTCTTCTGCACGAGAGTTTGATGTCTTACTGGATGAGCTAAAGCGCCAGTGATGTCTTTTGTATCTGTAACATTTATATCCTTGATGACAGGTGAAACAACTTTCAAAGAACGGTTCGGAGTGAAAATGGCTATTTTGTTGCTAATTTGCAGGAAATATCTAGAAGAAAGTTATACAGAAAGTAGCTAAGGGTCCTCAGAAATGTAGCTAGGTTCATCACTAGGCGCTAGGAACAGCGACAAAGTGGCACTGCCTCTCTCTCTGCTGCTAAAGCTACGGATAGCAAATGCTACGGGCGATGCCTGAGCGTGAACGCGCATGAAGCAGCCTGCTCGACCCGAGCATCTCTCTTTTTCTGTGATTTTACAGAAAAACAGGCAATCACAGTAAAAATGCCAGGGCTCATTCTACAGGACCAGGGCATTGCAGGAGAATGTATGAAGAAGAAATGTATTATTTCTATACATGTTTTGGCTGTCCAACTTCCATAATGTCCCTTTAAACATGGATCATTTATCAAATTTCCCATCTTGGTTCTCCCTGCCAATTGGTAAATGATCTATGATTGAATGGTCTCACTCTTACCTTCAAATGGACTCCAAGACCTTAAAATAGGGGATCTCTTCACTGAATCCCAGAATACTTTGTTTTATAGCGATCTGAATCTTCATTTTAGCTGAATATTTAGTTATTACCTCAACATTTATTTTCAGAATTGGCATCTCATACATGTGCTCAACACTCACCCTTTCTGCTGTTACCATTCTAGACACACTCGACTTCTCGTTGAACCCTGAAGACATGTGTAACGCCAAGTTTCCCTTAAAAACAAAATAAAACAAAGCTTAATTCTAAACTGATTCATATCTCAAACAGAAAGTTATAAATTGATGTGGAGAACAGCTCACCCCAGGAGCAGCATGTTCTCCAGGCGGTCCTGGTTCTCCTGGGTTACCTGGCACACCAGGCTCACCATCAAACCCTGGAGGTCCCTGGAATCCCTACAGGTCATTAAGTGAAATGTGAAAATTAGAGAAACCCCAGATTTGGGAAACAAACTGAAATGTGTTGCACCAAAATCAGAGCCATTTCATTTTAGAGCCGATCCACTCACGCGTCTGCCCTTAAAACCTCTTGGTCCGGTCCGTCCTTGACCTCCTGGAGGGCCCTGATATAAACATGAAACATGAGCGGAAGAATTCAAAGGTTGTCTTCTGAATAACAGAATCAGTTTGGAGTAGAACACGATTTTGGATTCAAGCAGCTGAAATTAGTCCTCCAGAGGGTGGCCGGGCTTAGTCGTGAGAAGAAGAGCTTGGACATTCAGGAGGGACTTGGAGTAGAGCGTATTGAGAGGAGCTAGCTGAGGTGGTTTGGGCATCTAGTCATGTTGCGGCCTGGACGCCTTCCTGGGGTGGTGTATCGGGCATGTTCTGCTGGCAGGAGGCCACCAGGTCGACCCAGGACACGTTGGAGCAAGTATACCTCCAATTTGGCCCAGGAATGCCTAGGGATCCTACCGTAGGAGCTGATGGAGGGGGCTAGGGAGCAGGCTGTCTGGGATGCCCTACTTGAGATGCTACCCCCACGACCCGGACCCGGATAAGCAGAGGAAAATGCATGAATGAACAAATTTGGGATAGGGTTTTCTGTCATGATTAAGCCAACATAAAAAATAAAAGTGTAGAAATAAAAAAAAAATTATGTAACAGGTTATCCATCCATCCATTTTCGGACGCTTATCCGGAGTCGGGTCGCGGGGGCAGTAGTCTAAGCAGGGAGGCTCAGACTTCCCTCTCCCCAGCCACTTGGGCCAGCTCCTCCAGGGGAATCCCAAGACGTTCCCTGGCCAGCTGAGAGACATAGTCCCTCCACTGTGTCCTGGGTCTTCCTTTAGGTCTCCTCCCAGTTGGACGTGCCCAGAAAATATTACCAGGGAGGTGTCCTGGAGGCATCCAAACTAGATGCCCGAGCCACCTCAACTGGTTCCTCTCGATGTGGAGGAGCAGCAGATCTACTCCGAGCCCCTCCTGGATGATGGAGCTTCTCACCTTGTCTCTAAGGGAGAGCCCAGGCACCCTGCAGAGAAAACTTGTTTCGGCGGCTTGTGTCCGCGATCTCGTTCTTTCGGTCACTACCCAAAGCTCATGACCATAGGTGAGAGTTGAAATGTAGGCTCCTCCCTCTTTTCACCACAACAGATCGGTACAATGTCCACATCACTGCAGATGCAGCACCAATCTGCCTATCAGTCTCGCGATCCATCTTTCCCTCACTCGTGAACAAGACCCAGAGGTACTTGAATTCTTCTACTTGGGGCAGGACCTCATCCCTGAACTGGAAAAGTCAGTCTGCCCTTTTCAGACTTGAGACCATGGTCTCAGATTTAGAGGAGCTTATTCTCGTCCCAGCTGCTTCTCACTCGGCTGTGAACTGCTCCAGTGAGAGCCAGAAACCACTTTCTGATGAAGCCAACAGGACCACATCATCTGCAAAAAGCAGAGACCCGATCCTCAGGCCACCAAAATGGATCCTCTCAACACCTTGGCTGCTCCTAGATATCCTGTCCATAAGGGTTATGAACAGACAAAGGGCAGCCTTGGTGGACTCTATCTCTCACTAGAAAGGAGAAAAAGTGAATGTAGCGTAACAGATTATTTCCTTAATAGTAATGATGGGAAAAATTTTTCAGCATGAGGTCCAAATTCATAAAAGCCATTTAGCGTTTAGGGTTTAGCATCTTTGTGTCCTCAAAGCACTCACATTTACTCTTCCCAAAACATCCGAGGTATTTAAAACAGGAATTTATTTATTTTAAAGACCAAATTCACTTGTTTTTAACACATTTGTAGTGTAACCCAGAGTAAACGACCATATTTTAAAAAATAACAATTATTAAAAAGTGTCTCAGTGACCTTGGCCTTTAAAGGGAAGCCAAACCAGAGCCGTGTCCAGGACTTTTAAAATGGGGTGGCCCATGTGGGGCACTTGTTTATGCATGGGTGGCACCAATGGTTATGCTTATTTATTTATTTACACAGATCGTCTATCTATTTATTTACTTTCTAGTGAATTTTGGAGTTTCACATTGCGCAATCACCATTTTTTTTCTATTCATCTTCTAGTTTTGTAGCAGTTAGCAAGTCACTTCTTGTTGCATTATTGCCACCAACTGGAGTTGAGTGGGACTCTAAATACTATTTATGTGAATATGAAAAAATAATCAATAATATTAATACTACAGAAATGTTCTGTAGGCCTGGGCTAGAAGGCAATGTTAAAGGTGCGTGCAACCACACACTATTTTTGGAGTTTACAACTCAAGCCTTTTGTCGACAATGTAAAGTCAATTTAAACTGGAACTTAGTAGGATGGCACCTGGGGGTGGCCAATCAGATTTTAAGGGTGGCATGTGCTACCCCAGGCCACTCCCTGGACACGCCCCTGAGCCAAACCTACCTGTGTTCTTCTTTACTGCCAGGAGGCGTTCGCATGTCAGTGTAAAAACATGAAAAAAAGAAGCCAGCCTGTATCTTCCTGTGGTGAAAGTCAGACTTTGATTCATCCTTAAATACTTGACCAAAAAACGTGGTAAAACTGGCCTTTACAGCATCAAATCACCGTAGACATCCAGAGACTAACATCCCAAAGTAACCATCCATGTGATCTTTTCCCCACCAGCAGGTTACATTTGTTCCAGGATACTTAAATTGAAGGTAAAACCTCTTAGATCATTTGTATTTCAGACAGCGTCTCATTACCCACCGCTGGTCCTGGAAGTCCTGGCAGCCCCACCACCTAGGGAGGGAACAATGGCATCATTGTTTATTTCTTCATTACAATACAAGTGCAATCACAAGACACCACAAAGATGCAAACCTGTGTTATTGATATTTCATACTTACATAAGGGATTTCACCTGGTTCACCCTTCTCTCCCTTTAAAGAACACACATAGGTCTTTCATATGACTGATGACTTTAAATTAAAAAATTTGTGTTTGTGAATCTAAAGCTTACCTGGAAACCCATAATTTCTTGAATAAAACAAGGGGAAAAAAAGAAACCCATTAGTCAGTTTTCAACAAGCTGATATTCAAAATAAGTCTTAAAGGGGCCCTTCACTCATATTTGTAATGCATTTGCAGTGGTCTACAGTAGGCTTTGTAAGTTGTACTCTGGGTATAAAAGCTCCGGTGCGCCTCTTCCTGCATGGAGAATTCAGTTTGAAGAGAAAGTAGCTTCAGACGACAGGATTTGGAGTCTTATTTCAGGACATTTGTACATCTCGTCACAAATAACTCAAGCCTGAAGGAGCTTTTGCAGTGTTGTGGAGTTGCTAATGCTAACAATTAGCTTATTCTAGCTGAGACACACTCTGCTGATTCCTGGACAATAAACCAACAACCGCTTTCCTTGTCATGAGTGAGGTTGGGTGAGTCTGTGAATGTTAAGTGACATAGATCTGTCAGGATTTTCAAATCTTTTCACCGCCTGTTTTTTTAAAGCTAATGCAGGAGATAGATGTAGGAGACTATTTTCATGTTCAGCCCGCATGAAAAAATCTGAGTAACTCATCATTAAAAAAAATAATGAATAAAAATTATTTCTCAGTGAAAGGTCCTCTGTAAAACACAACCAGATGTTGTATTTTTTAGGTTTGCAGCAGGTAAAGTGGTCTCACCTATCCTGCCGCCGGCGCTGGCAAAGTTGTCACACACGGGGCAGCACTCTCCCTCAAGGGTCACGACCTTCTCGCAATTTGCCAAAGTTTCACACTGAATCTCGTCACAGATAGCAACACCGTTGTCACAGACACACACGCGACATGGCAAGGGTTTCCAGATGTCGTTGTGTTGGTAGACTTCCCCATCAGCTTCGCAGCTTTTCTCATTATCATCCACAGCTGCAACGCACATTTCAGATTAATTACTAAACAAGAAAAATTGTACAACTGTTTTTCAATTGAAAATAATATAGGTTTTCAAAATTAAATGATTAGAATTTAGAGGTGTCCAGACCAAAAACCAAATGTACAATCCCTGCATCTGCGGGACTTCTTTGGGATATGCATGCAAAAGGGGTGTGTCCAGGGAGTGGCCTGGGGTAGCACATGCCACACTTGAAATCTGATTGGCCACCCTAATGAGTTTTGAGTTTTCATATTGAGATAAACGGTGTTTAGAATCCTGGTCCCAGTCCCAGTCCACTCCAGTTGGTAGCGGTGATGCACCAACAATTTGGCTTGCTAACCTCCACAAAACATTTTTAAGTAAAGTGAATTTCTTTTAACTTAAGTACGCATATTTTTCTGAGTATTATCTACGTCACGTTCTTTATAGTACTTATCCATATCAAGAATAAAATACTTGAAAACTTACACTACCCTACACTGTTAGCCCAGATAAGTTAAATTTGCTTCAGAACGCTATGTGGCTAGCAGGTGAAGATGGAACCTAACACCAACACTGAATGCCTCACACACCCATAGCTGCTGACGGTCTGTGAGAGTGGAATGCATAAAGTCAAGTCCAGAGATTTTGATGTGAACCACCAAATTGTGGAACTGTGGACCAGCTCTATGCCCTTGCAAGGGTGATGGAGGGGGCATGGGAGTTTGCCCAACCAATCCACATGTTTTTTGTGGATTTGGAGAAGGCTTATGACCGACTCCCCAGGGGCACCCTTTGGGGGACGCTCCAGGAGTATGGGGTGGGTGGCTTTCTGTTAAGGGCCATTCAGTCCCTTTACCAGAGGAGCGTGAGTTTGGTCCGCATAGCCGGTAGTAAGTCGGACCTGTTCCCGGTGAGGGTTGGACTCTGCCAGGGTGGCCCTTTCTCACGGGTTCTGTTCATTACCTTTATGGACAGAATTTCTAGGCGCAGCCGTGGTGTGGAGTGTGTCGAGTTTGGTGGCAGGAGAATCTCGTCTCTGCTTTTTGTGGATGATGTGGTCCTCCTAGCTTCATCCAGCTCTGACCTTCAGCTCTTGCTGGGTAGGTTCGCGGCCGAATGTGAAGCAGCTGGGATGAGGATCAGCACCTCCAAATCTGAGACCATGGTTCTCGACCGGAAAAGGGTGGCTTGCCAACTCTGGGTCGGGGGAGAGGTCCTACCTCAAGTGGAGGAGTTTAAGTATCTCGGGGTCTTGTTCACGAGTGAGGGTAGGAGGGGTCGGGAGATCGACAGGCGGATTGTTTCGGCGTCTGCAGTGATGCGGACGCTGAGCCGATCTGTCGTGGTGAAGAGGGAGCTGAGCCAGAAAGCCAGGCTCTCGATTTACCGGTCGACCTACTTCCCAATCCTCACCTATGGTCATGAGCTTTGGGTAATGACCGAAAGAACGAGATCGCGGATACAAGCGGCCGAAATGAGTTTCCTCCGTAGGGTGGCCGGGCTCAGCCTTAGAGATAGGGTGAGGAGCTCGGACATTCGGGAGGGACTCTGAGTAGAACCGCTGCTCCTCCGGATCGAAAGGAGCCAGTTGAGGTGGTTTGGGCATCTGGTCAGGATGCCTCCTGGACGCCTTCCTGGGGAGGTGTTTCGGGCATGTTCTGCCGGCAGGAGGCCCCCGGGTTGACCCAGGACACGTTGGAGAGGTTACATCTCCAACCTGGTCCGGGAACGCCTTGGGGTCCTGCCGGAGGAGCTGGTGGAGGTGGCTGGGGAGAGGACGGTCTGGAGCTCCCTAGTTGGGATGCTGCCCCCACGACCCAGACCCGGATAAGCGGAGGAAGGCAACAACGACCACCACCACCAAATTGTCAATAACAGTGGAACGGCACAGCATGGTTATTCCCTTGACCAACCGCCTCACTTAACGGTGCAAACTTGACACAACAAGTAACACCACATTTGCAACAATGAACAAAGTAATAACTAAGAACAACACAAATCCCCCACAATAAACATGCATAAACACCCCCAAGTAGAACAAAATAACTAAAAACATAACTACCCACAATGCACCTCGCCCACCAGTTCTTTATTTCTAAAATATACCAAAATTGCTAGTTCGTGGTTGTTTTTCCTACAGATCCACAAACATTTAAAATATATATATATATCTATATGTCTGTTTATCAGACACACTTTAAGGTGCCATAAAGATGAATAGAATAATATAGAAACGTTATTGTTACTCAATCCAGTTAAGTTGTTCTTTGTTAATTTATTCAAGTTATGCTACAGTGTAGAAGAAGTTAGCTGCAAGGCCATCAGCTACTCATAAACAGAGCGTTCACGAGGATAACTGGGTGTTCTCTCTCATGCACATTTTTTCAAAACGTGGAGAGGGCGGTTCTTTAATGAAATTCAGAAACATCCTCCACCATACCTTTAATACCTTTAAAAAAAGAAGTATGACCATTGGTGCTACATGTGCATAAATAAGTCCCCCACCTGGGCCACCCCATTTAAAAAGGCCTGGACACACCACTGGCATGGAAAACCTCCACCTCCTCCTGATTCCAGGATTTACTCTTCTATCTATAAAATTATTTACTTTAATTCTTGACTTTCTATTTGATGAAGAACAACTTGAACCAAACTAAACATTGCCTGTCAAAAAAGATGCATACAGCCATTTTCTTTGCCATACGTTCCTTTGCGCACCAGTGCTACATCGGGATTCATGATGGTTCCACTGTGGATGTGAGTGTCCCCAAGCCAAGAGGCAGGAAGCGCACATGCACAACAGAAGCTGGTTCCAGTCCCACTTGTCAAGGACCACTAAGGCCACCAAGAAAGCTCAAACATTGTGGATGTTTTGGCACAAACTGCCACTATCTCCACCACCCCCTTGACTATGTTTGAGCTTTTACGGTGGCCTTGTGTAGTTCCACGTGACTTGACTATCTCAATTGTAAAAGTATGTGAACCTCTGTGTATAGGTAGAAGTAAATGTACCTGTCTGTGGGTCCGTGCTTGGTGTAAGTGTAGAAGCTGCACCAAGACACACAGGACAACATTCCCCCTCTGGGATCACCGTTTTCTGACAATCACCAAGGTCTTCACAGACCATGTCCTCACACACGATGGATCCCAAATCACACATGCACACCCGACATGGCTCCGGGTTCCACAAGTCCTTGTTGGCGTAGACTTTCCCATTTTCTGTGCAGATATCTTCAAGAAAAAAGATTGTTATTCAGTTGATTCAAGATTTACTTTAAAGAAATGCGTAAAATAGAATGGTATTGGCCTGTGTATGTGTGTGTGTGTGTGTGTGTGTGTGTGTGTGTGTGTGTGTGTGTGTGTGTGTGTGTGTGTGTGTGTGTGTTTATTTTTTTTTGTAGGAGTAATTGGACGTTACTATATATATATATATATATATATATATATATATATATATATATATATATATATATATATATATAGTCCTTTCTAGAGTCCTAGACCCCCCCCCCCCCCCCTCCCAAGGGGCTTTACAACACAACAGTCATTCTCCTACTCAGACCATAGACATATATACTCAGACACACACACTGATGGTTCTAAGCTATTGCAGACGCAGCTGCCTTGGGGCAAGCTGACAGAAAGCGAGACTGCCCACCTCCACCCACCACCAGCAGAGAAGGAGGGTCAAGTGCCTTGCCCAAGGTCCCAATGTCTGCAACAGACTGAGCAAGATGTGAACCTGCTATGGTTACGAAACGGGCACTTAACTCCTCTGCTACCCTGTAAAATGTTCAATAAGCTGGTGCAGAAACACCAGACTAAAATCAGCAGATCACCATAAAATCAGTCGGTAAGTTAAAATTACAGCAACAGGAGGTTTGATCAGATAAAATTGGCAGCATTAAATCTGAAGAGAAAATACAAAGAACACCAAAATGATTGAATGTATCTGTGGCCAGCACCATGAAAAGGTATTTACCACAATTCATATTATTCAAATGTGTTCAGATCAACAAATAAACTCCAATATGAGACACGGATAACCTGAGGAAATAAAAAATATCTGACACTTCTATGAAGAACAAATCTATTGAAACCAACCTGGTCCTTGGTGAAAATCTAATTCACCCCTAAATTTAACACCTAGCTGTAACTCCCTAGGTGGTAATGAGTCTCTCTCATGACTGTGGGGGAGTTTTTGGAACCTTCAGAACCGTTGGGGAGGTCAAAGGTTCTGAATGTTCTGCTTAGAGACCAGAATTCATGGTTTCATCAGGTGGTCTAGCTCCTGAAGCAACAAAACAGCATCAAACCATCCCACTTTAACTTTTCCACAAAGGATCAGGCTTGTTTGAGTAGCTTTATTCCCCTAGTGAATGACATTATCATTTGATCCTGTGACAAAACAGAAAATCAGAAGAAATCTGCAAAGAGGTTACAAGAATGCTTCCAATAACATGTATTCACGTCTTTACTGAAGACAAAAGGATATAAAAACAGAGCAAGGAAGTGATTTCCAAAGGAATACACCTTATCGGGTTACAAACACACACACACACACACACACACACACACACACACACACACACACACACACACACACACACACACACACACACACACACACACACACAGAGAAGTGAGCTAATCCTCTAGTAAGCTCTTGCCCATCAGTCAAAGAAAAACTCAACATAGAATTATCACGAAACACCGTCCCCATGCCCCGTAAACACAGCTGAAAGGAATCTGGGTTCTGTATTTGATCGAGGGAGTGGACTTCTTGTCTCTCTGGGCAGAAATCTTTGCAACGAGGGACAGCAGCTGGCATCAGATCTCATTAGCCCATAGACCAGTTAAAAGCAGATGTTCACGGTACCTTTTGGAGGCCCTGTTCATGTAGATAAGAGGATTAGAGCAACATCCGGTGAGAAACCGGATTTAGCTAGTTGATTATTTTATTTTTTGCATGGTGAGATTTTGTTTGTCATAGCAGTTTATTTGAACTTTTCAAGAGGATTTTAAAAATGATTTGCCCCGAATAATAAGGTGGATTTAAATATTCTAAAAATTAGCTTTTTGGTGTTGAGGTACCTGAGAGTCATCTCAATCACATCATCTGAGTGCTACTTACTGCACACCCTCTTTATTTTAACTATTAGTTTAATACAGTACCCTGCCCTGTTCCTGGGGAGCCACTAACAGGCTTGTTTTATTTGTTTCCCTGCATCAACACACCTGATTCAACAGTTTAATAACCTGTTCAGCAGCCCACAGAAGTCTGTTAATAACCTGCGGATTAAAATCAGGTGTGTTGAAGCATGCTCGACACAGCTTTGGCTTCCATATCTCAAGTAGACTTCCCTTTTCCTGAAAGCCTCGGCCAGGCGCCGTCTGAAAAAAAAACAGGTGAAAAACCTTTCCAATAAACTACAGCACTCATTTATTCTGAACAAACACATAAAACCTGAAATGCGACTGAAACATTAAAAATAACCACATGAATTGTGCATTTTCTCTTACTGGCCACTAGATTGCACTACCTACCTTTGTTATTATAGAAACATTACTCGGGTTCTTTAGTGAAAAACAACATAAATGTTGATTCAGGAGGATGTTACTTGAGTAAATAAACCTTCTTTACCTTTTGAAAAAAAATCTTATTAATCAATTCTGACACAGTACCTCTGGCCATATAGGATTGTTTAATATTTATGTCCAAGCTTCAAATGCACATATTAACCCTCCCACTGTTCTAATGGGCGTGACCCCGCGAAGAAAGTTGACCACTGAGCAGCGTTGATGGTTTATCCCTTGGGTCCATGTGGCAGGGGTGAGGAGTTGGCACCACCTCACCCCTGCCACGTGGACCACAAGGGATAAACCATCAATCCTGCTCAATGGTCAACTTTCCTCACGCGGTCACAGCCATAAAGACAGTGGGAGGGTTAAGACTTTTCAAATATGAAATAAGCCACACAAACCAAATCCACCAATAGAAATGTAAAATTGAAGGGTGAAGCTAGAAATCGTTCTGCAAATAAGTACATGTTTACTTTTAAGTTCTGATTTTAAAAATTGATCATTTGAATAAATAAAATCCCAAAGATTTTGTTGTTTGACATAAAAACCCATACCTGTATATATAAGCCCTTTGAACGTGCTTTAAAGCCGCAAAAGCAAATTTGGATAACAAGGGTTAACGTCCAAGCGACAAGTTCCTCTGACATCGCGGGTTTCCGGTTCCGGTGGAGGAGTATCAGGGAAGATACCATAGATATTCCGTGACCATGTTTGCATTTAAAACCTAGCTTCGCTTTGTTTAAATCCCAGCTTTGCTCTAATAGCTTTAAATAATGACAACACTGCTAATCAATGGACAAAATAGTGTAATAATACACTCTGATTGACCTACAAGCACCCCCTAGTGGTTTGTCTGGAGAATGGTTTCAGTTCTGCCCCTTCATGGATACAAATGGGACAACCTCAACAATAAAACAACAATGAAAAAAATTATTTTTTTCCCAAATGTCGATTCCCGCTGTTTCATTTAGCTTTTACTTTACTGCTTTATGTTCAAATACAAAATTATCTTAAACTGTTATTTGTATTTATTTAATGTTTGAAAGCACCATGACTGTATTTAAGACACTCGCACCTTCCTGACATAAAAGTATTTTGGTTCATGCAAATGCTATTTTTATAAAATTTACAAGCTTATTTATTTTTATTTTGTTTTCTAAGCTAAAATAACCGAAACAGCAACTAGCGTGCAATGCAGCCTTGTGGTAAATGGCCTGTATTTGATATTGCGCTTTTCAACAAAATCAGTCAGTCACACGCACATTCACACCCTGGTGGTGATGAGCTACATTGTAGCCACAGCTGCCCTGGGGTGCACTGACAGAGGTGAGTCTGCCGTACACAGGCATCACCGGTTCCTCCGACGACCACCAGCAGGCAAGGTGAGTTAAGTGTCTTGCCCAAGGACACAACGACAGCTCGAACCTGCAACCTTCTGATTACGGAGCAAGCACTTAACTCCTGTGCTACCGTCACCTCATGCTAATGAGTGTAATGTAAAACTGATATAATAATTTGTGTTTACACAAATGTAGAAACCTGTTTTCTATCACTAGCCATTAACTCATCCATTCAGAACTCATCTGTAAATTTTCAAACTGAGGTTGATTGGACTGCAGTTTAAACACAACCACAAGTTTTTTTTAAATGAAAGTAAAAGCATAAAATACAATAAAAAATCTTGAGAATGCGTAACTGTTAAACCATAATCCTACATTTTTTCAGACATTTTGACCCAAAACTCCTGAGGAACATGAAAAAGTGGCGAACTATAATTATAAACAATCCGTCCTCCTGGCTGATGAAGCACATTACCCCAAACCTGCAGGGCTTTTTATCTGCCAGTCAGTGACTAGACTGTGGTCTTTAAATGTGTGCACACAATCATCTACATGATGAAGATTGTTGCTTTATGCAGGAACATTAATCAAATCTCACAGCCAAACTTCACTTTCATCCATCCTTCATGGTTTGGTTTTGAAAATGAAACAGACGTGTTAATCACTGCTCAAATAACCCCAATTTTCATCCTCATGAAAAACCCTCAAGGAATATGTCCTCAAACTCTTACGAAAGTGCAAACAAAAGCATAAAGCAACACAACCACCTGCCATAACGGCTTTTAAATCTGCTCATTTTGAGATGCTGCTAACTGCTAATTATGTGGTTGAGCCTCTCCCCAAGAAACGGGCAAGTTTTCAAAAGCTGCAGTTATTTCAGGGAAAACCACAGCAGTTGGATTATATGTTGGATAAAAGCTGTGGTTTGGCGTCAGAGCGATGATGCCACACCCGGAGAAACCTGCTGCAGGTCCATGCAGAAAACCCTTTGTTTGCTGTTATTAACATCCAAAGTCTAAATGTAGCCTTTGAGACCTTAAATGTTCAATAATTTGGGTAAAAGTTTTCCTCTGTTTGACAGTAGATCTGAATTAATGCGGATTTGATTTCAGTTTACAAACAGCAGAAGCAATTATCACGCCTTTCTGCTGAACTGTCCATACACTTATAGTGCTAAGACATTCACTGCTTTATATTATATTATATTATATTATATTATATTATATTATATTATATTATATTATATTATATTATATTATATTTTATATTATATTATATGTTTTTCTTCTGAGACTTGCATATCTTTGTATATTTCTGTTTTTTTCAAGATGACTAGATGCTAACTAAAACCATTCAAACAGGAAAAAAGTATAATAGTCTTTAAAAATCTGAGATTCTGGAACATTCTTTCCTTATCATAAATATCTCTTTATCTAAAAGTTAAATTAAAATCAATGTGCCAAAATTAAGCTAAATTGGAGACTGCTCTTGATAGCCTGTTAGCCTAGCAAAAAATGTTAAACCAGCTGCCTGATTCACTGTGGGCTATGAAGTTAACTAGATGGTGGAGTTGTAGCGTGTTAGCCACAACAGTATTTGTTTTTTAAAAGACAAACTAAAAGTGTTGTTCATTGCCTGTTAGCATACTGCCAGTATCTAACTCACTGTTATATTAGCTACACGTGTTTCATTAGCCTGTCTCTTAAGCGCTAACATCAGAATTAAAACAAAGAAGCTAACAGCCTCTTAGCTTAGCTGCTAAACAAGGAGGAAAGGGATTTTTTTGTGTTAGCCAAGCAAACACCACAAAATAATAATATCTTGTTAGCTTCTTTAATGAGAATCATGCTCCCCTCTGTCCTGGGTAAAATTAACACATTATGATAAAACTTTGTTTAATCAGAAATAAAAAATTTAAACATGAAAAATCATTGAGTGATGGAAGTGTAAATGTGTTTTACTACATTTTGTTTTGTATATTGTCCTGAAAATTAACTGAACGCCCAAAAACAAAAAGTTTTTTTTTATCTAATAAACCTGTAGATGTATGTCTGTGTCTTGTTATAGCTTTATATAAACAAATAAAATATGTGAGGATACATCTTTAAAAGAAAATTCAGAAAACACCTGAAATGACAAAACAGGTGTACACATATCTCCAAGCACAAACTTATGGTTGAGATGTTCCAAAGCAGTATTAGAACTCAACACTTTATATTATATGATGTTATTTGTACAATGACATTAAATAGTAGCAATTTTGGACGTGACACGGTGGACAGGCTGCAGCAGGAAAAGACAACCTCGATCTCCATGAATATGGATTCAGACCTAAAATATCTGGTGCACAGGTCTTTAAATAATGATTTTACTCTTCCTTTGCACCATGAACGTTCCAGTTGAGGTGATGTTGGATAAAAGCAAACAGAGCATATTTCGTATCCAGCATCCTCTCACTTTGGGTGTGTCTCGTCTGCCTCTGGCCCCAAGTTTGACCAAAATTAGTGGTCTGCTTTTGTCCATCCCGTCCACAAGGCCACATCATTATAGCTCTGCTGGGTCGAACCCCTTCATTCAGCCTCAACTCTGCACTAAAATAGACCCGCCGGCCATGCACGCTCTCAGAGTTAGCTAAGGCCTTTAAAGGAGGAACTCTTTTTTAATTTTAGAAACCTAAACATGAAACTTGAGATTTTGAGTATCTTTCATTTAAATTTTAGGAACCCATTTACCTAAACAACAGATAACTTAAGGTTGGTGTTCTTTTAATGTAACAGTTTTTTATTCACATGTGTTCTGACATCACGTAGGCTAATTACCTTTCATTAGTTTATAGCAGCTCCATTAACTAGAAGATGGTATAGAGTTAGAGCGTAATAACCCACCCCGGACCAACTTTAGTTGTGATTATAACTTTTCTTTACAAACCACCATGTTTGAAAGCATACATGCTCAGTTATAATGATGTATACAAGTACATTTACATTTATGAAGACACAAAGGTGAAACAGTAAGCATAAATGTTTATGTGCAAACGTTTCTTTCAAAATAAAAGCCCACAAAAACAGATGTTCTTCCATAATCATAAATCAATGCCGAAACCCTTATAACGGACAGATTTAGGAGACATGTTCAGGATCAGTCACTCACCACTTCTGGTTTCCTCTTGGCACGTCACGGCGATCACCTGAGCCAAGGTGAGGACCAGACACACGGTAATCCTAGAGCAAATCGAGGGGTCCATGTCTGCATGTCATGCGTCCCCAAGCAGAGGAGGAAGTTCAAGAGAGTCCGGCCCTGAGCTACAGCACTCAGGCTGCAGGATTTAAATGTCCCTGAGTGCAATGGGCTCCTGGACGAGCAATTACTGCGACTGAAACAACCCCCCCACCCACCCCCGCCACAACGGGACCTCCCTGCTCTTTTCAGCCTTCCTCCCTCTCCCTCTCGTCTGCTCTCTCATCATTTCTGCTTTTATTTCAAGGCCAGCCTCCTCCTCAGGCTTCTGTAGTTGCCTTGAAAGATGGGACTAATTAAAGGCTGCATGAAATTTCCTCTGATGAAAAAAGGAAGGGATGGACGATGCTTCTATAAAATACCAATCTATTTTTTGCTTTTTGCATGTTTAAGGCATGCTTCTGAACCTTTGAAGTCAAAGAACGACTACATGACATCATCTGTTAATAAACCCTAGGTTTGCTATCAGACCCCGAGACGGGAAAACCAGACGAAAGGATGAAAGAGTTTTATCGGCGCATTATAGGACTCAGTGGTGTTGGTGACATCTCATTTTGGTGATTTTATCTCAGAATTTGATACACTGATTGTTTTTCTTTGTTTCGTGTCTCAAAGAAGGGTGGGTTGAGATTTTCCGGAGGACAGAGAAGAGCAGTGGAGGTGGAGATTCAGGTGAGCTGAAGTTGAATGTAGGCAGGTTGTCCAGCTGTTTCTAGGAGGAGATGGACTCAAGTGTTGAAAGTATTTTGACAAAATCAACCTGGGCCAAAATTTAATCCGATTTTTAATGGTCTGGAAATGTTTGCAATAAGTCGCAATGTCCTCAGGTGTTGCAGATTCTCATTTGCTAGAATTTCTAACAAACACCACATCATAGGCACAGTCGGGTTTGAGAGGGCTTGGAGACCAAATTTCAAGAGAAATTTTTCATACATAATTAAGAAGCTTTTTGAATTAATACAACAGCAAAATTTGCCTTGAAGGACCCAAACACACATAAAACAATTATCTCATAAGTCTTGGTGTAATGTACTTAAAATTAGCACAAAATTACACAAACATTTTTAACCAGTGTACTGGTTACTGGTTAGACCGGGGTTCTTCCTATCAACCAATCAATCATTTGCCAAAGTAATACCATCAATGACACCGGGCCAGGTTTAACGTCGGGTCAGGTGGGAAGGCTGTGCTAAAATAACAAATCCTCTCTCTCTCCGTACATCTCGTCTCCATCTGCATGTGTATATGCCTAAGCACTGTTTGTATGAATGTCAATGGTGCACCATTGTTGTGTCCATATATATATGGAATTATCCTGCTAGAAGATGGAGATTGCACCTGAATTAGCTAATCAAACGAAGGCAGGAGAATATTAAACTGAAGAAAAGAAAGGGACATTATATATATATATATATATATATATATATATATATATATATATATATATATATATATATATGCATATGTATATATACATATATATGTATGTAAATATATATACACATATACATATATAAGTATATATACATATATGTATATATACATATATGTATATATACTTATATATGTATATGTGTATATATATTTACATACATATATATGTATATATACATATATATGTGTATATACAGTGGGGCAAAAAAGTATTTAGTCAGCCACCGATTGTGCAAGTTCTGCCACTTAAAATGATGACAGAGGTCAGTAATTTACATCATAGGTACACTTCAACTGTGAGAGACAGAATGTGAAAAAAAAATCCATGAATTCACATGGCAGGATTTTTAAAAATTTATTTGTAAATCAGGGTGGAAAATAAGTATGTGGTCACTTCAAACAAGGAAAATCTCTGGCTCTCACAGACCTGTAACGTCTTCTTTAAGAAGCTTTTCTGTCCTCCACTCGTTACCTGTATTAATGGCACCTGTTTGAACTCATTATCTGTTTAAAAGACACCTGTCCACAGCCTGAAACTGTCAGACTCCAAACTCCACTATGGCCAAGACCAAAGAGCTTTCGAAAGACACCAGGAAAAGAATTGTCGACCTGCACCAGACTGGGAAGAGTGAATCTACAATAGGCAAGCAGCTTGGTGTGAAAACATCAACTGTGGGAGCAATTATCAGAAAATGGAAGACATACAAGACCACTGATAATCTCCCTCGATCTGGGGCTCCACGCAAGATCTCATACCGTGGGGTCAAAATGTTATGAGAACGGTGAGCAAGAATCCCAGAACCACACGGGGGGACCTGGTGAATGACCTGCAGAGAGCTGGGACCACAGTAACAAAGGTCACCATCAGTAACACACTACAACGGCAGGGAATCAAATCCTGCAGTGCCAGACGTGTTCCGCTGCTGAAGTCAGTGCATGTCCAGGCCTGTCTGAAGTTTGCCAGAGAGAACATGGATGATACAGCAGAGGATTGGGAGAATGTCATGTGGTCAGATGAAACCAAAGTAGAACTTTTTGGTATAAACTCAACTCGTCGTGTTTGGAGGAAGAAGAATACTGAGTTGCATCCCAAGAACACCATACCTACTGTGAAGCATGGGGGTGGGAACATCATGCTTTGGGGCTGTTTGTCTGCTAAGGGGACAGGACGACTGATCCGTGTTAATGACAGAATGAATGGGGCCATGTATTGTGAGATTCTGAGCAAAAACCTCCTTCCATCAGTGAGAGCTTTGGAGATGAAACGTGGCTGGGTCTTCCAACATGACAATGATCCCAAACACTCCACCCGGGCAACAAAGCAGTGGCTCCGTAAGAAGCACGTGAAAGTCCTGGAGTGACCTAGCCAGTCTCCAGACCTCAACCCCATAGAAAATCTGTGGAGGGAGTTGAAAGTCCGTGTTGCTCGGCGACAGCCCCAAAACATCACTGCTCTCGATATGATCTGCATGGAGGAATGGGCCAAAATACCAGCTACTGTGTGTGCAAACCTGGTAAAGACCTATAGTAATCATTTGACCTCTGTTATTGCCAACAAAGGTTATGTTACAAAGTATTGAGTTGAATTTTTGTTATTGACCAAATACTTATTATCCACCCTGATTTACAAATAAATTCTTTAAAATTCCTGCCATGTGAATTCATGGATTTTTTTCACATTCTGTCTCTCACAGTTGAAGTGTACCTATGATGTAAATTACTGACCTCTGTCATTATTTTAAGTGGGAGAACTTGCACAATCGGTGGCTGACTAAATACTTTTTTGCCCCATTTACGAACACTTTATTAATTGGATGCGTTTGTAAATTAAATCTGCTCTGAAAACGCGCTCTTGTGCAATTAGAAAAAAAAGTAGCATTCTAACTTTCTAACTGCAGAGTGCATTTTCAGAGCGGCAGATTAAATAAACGCCCCCAGTTAATATAGCGTTTGTGAATTTAATCTGCCGCTCTGAAAATGCGCTCTCCAGTTAGAAAAAAACCCAGCAATGAATGCTGTATTTTTTTTTTACTGCAGAACGAATTTATTCACAGAAAAATAGAATGCTGCCTTTTTCATGAGAATAAACGAATGGTTTGTGACATATCAAAGTGGACATAAAAAGGCATATTAGAATAGGGGCACATGTTTCAATCAGCAGTTCGAAAATTCGTTTATATAGGTGCATTTATGAGCTAACGGGTACTGGTGCGTGAGAAGCAGGCAGGTGCTGCTGCGTTTAAGTGTTTCAGGTTTTTTTAATGAATTCGATTAAAAATAAAGGCGCCCGGCCCGTGTCCGAGGTAATTACACAGTCGTTGGCCCGAAGCCCGGCCCGAGGGCCGGGCTGACCCAAGGGCCTAGAGCTTCAGTGCAGGGCACTGCACTGCAAACCTGGTAAAGACCTTTAGTAATCGTTTGACCTCTGTTATTGCCAACAAAGGTTTTGTTACAAAGTATTGAGCTGAATTTTTGTTATTGACCAAATACTTATTTTCCACCCTGATTTACAAATAAATTCTTTAAAAATCCTGCCATGTGAATTCATAGATTTTTTTTCACATTCTGTCTCTCACAGTTGAAGTGTACCTATGATGAAAATTACTGACCTCTGTCATCATTTTAAGTGGGAGAACTTGCACAATCGGTGGCTGACTAAATACTTTTTTGCCCCACTGTATATTTATATACATATATGTATGTATATATACATATATATGCATATATATGTATATATATGTATATATATGTATATATGTATGTATATGTATATATATATGTATGTATGCATATACATATATATTTATAGATATAGATATAGATATATTATATATATCTATATATATATATAGATAGATGATAGATAGATAGATAGATAGATAGATAGATAGATAGATAGATAGATAGATAGATAGATAGATAGATAGATAGATAGATAGATAGATAGATAGATAGATAGATAGATAGATAGATGATAGATAGATAGATAGATAGATAGATAGATAGATAGATAGATAGATAGATAGATAGATAGATAGATAGATAGATAGATAGATAGATAGATAGATAGATAGATAGATAGATAGATAGATGATAGATAGATAGATAGATAGATAGATAGATAGATAGATAGATTGATAGATAGATAGATAGATAGATAGATAGATAGATAGATAGATAGATAGATAGATAGATAGATAGATAGATAGATAGATAGATAGATAGATAGATAGATAGATAGATAGATAGATAGATAGATATAAATAGATATAAATAAAGTCCCTTTCTTTTCTTCAGTTTAATATTCTCCTGCCTTCGTTTGATTAGCTACTTCAGGTGCAATCTCCATCTTCTAGCAGGATAATTCGGATCCTGCTGTTTATTCCTTAGACTCTCACTCCCGCCTGCTGCAACCTCCAAAAATAAAATTTGCATTAGGTTCTGCGGGACCCCAATCCCAATGCAGGGCTCTATTCTTCCAAGAATGCATCTCCTAAATTTGGGTACAGCCCTTATCTGTCTGATAAGTGGGTGGGCATGCTGCTAGAGTGCATATGGATTTCTGAGTGTGCTAGTTTGGTCCCTGAATTAGGAAATCCCAACTGTTTTGGGGGGTTTGCTTAAACTGAACAAACAGATTAACCAACAGCTGGACAGCTAAACCTGAAAGAATTCAGCTTGCTGGGCTAAAGCAGTTCCTGCCTCCTCCTTGAGGAGTTTACAGTGTGTCTCCAGCATCCATTTGATGTGTTTTCCAGGATGAGGTTCAGGACATCAAGCAGGCTGTCAGTGATGCACCAGAGGCAGTTAGATAAACCCCGCAGGAAACCGTCCTCTTCATTAGGGACGTCAGCTTTACCTGGGCCCTCAAAGAGTTTTAATTGCAGTTTTTCTCTTTGTGGATGAGCTGAAATTAGTTTGTTTCCTTTGTTGAACTAGTCAGGAAGTCTTTCAGGTGCTTCAGTAACAGCCTGATTTCTCATTAGGGAACCAGAGACAGCCACACAGGGATGGATGGGAAGACAGTTCCTGTCTTGGACAAGCTGTTTTACATTTGTTCTTTTCAGAAATGTAATGTTCTAGAGATCAGAGAACATGTCCTGAAGATGGGACACCAAAGTGAACAAGTTTGGTGAAAAATTCATTACTTAAAAAAATAAATAAATAAAAATGTAAAAATACCTAAAATGCCTAAAAGCGCTAAATTAAATGTTTAGATTTAGATAAAATATATATATATATATATATATATATATATATATATATATATATATATATATATGTTCAACTAACTTATATTTTAGAATAAAAACCCTAAATTTCAGATATAAAACTAGAAAATAAAACACTAAATTCAACAACAGTTAGGTGTTAGATGCTAACTAACAGGCTAAATGAATGTTAGCATGGTCAATTAGAATTGGCTAATGTGTTTTGGGAATGGCAGACACACGCTGTTGCTATTTTAACATGTTTTTTTCAAATAATATTGAACTAACACAACAATTCAACATGGCCACCAAAGCAGACATTACCCTAGAAAGTACTAAAATGGCAAAAACTTGGTGAAATATACAGATGTTGAGCTTGAATTTGGAGTCATCCACATCCCACATTCTGAAAGCTAATAAATCACATCTGTGTTTAAAAGTTTGCTGAAGTCAACCCTGACTCTCTGTTAGCAAATATAAAAAATGGGTAAAACCAGTTGAGTTCAACCACACAGAGTTGAATTTTTTGTGTAACTTATAAGCCAATATTTGAAGCTGCAGTGGCTAATTTGGAAAAATGATTAGCTTAAATTGTTTTTCATACATTCAAACTAAACCATGGATGCTTCGTGTATCTAGGTATTATAAAACATGTTTAAATGTATACAAAAGTACATACAGAAAGTCTAAGGATGATCTTACAGCTCCCGACTTCACCTAAATGGTCATGTGACAGGAAGTTGAGGCCAGCAGATGTAACACACACCTTGCTGCATATTCTCTTACACATCACCTGCATTTTTTATGATGTCATGAGTGTGAAAGAACACTCCAAACACATACTCCCCATCGAGGAGATCACAGTTCAGCGCATGAACTCAACGTTGTTGCTTTAAGCTGTGTGAGATGTTTGCTGCAGCAACTAAAAACTTCGTGAAGCAGGTTGGAGACACAGGGAGGCTGATCCCAGTCCCCAGTCTAAGCGAGGCGGACCGCTACCAGCCCCTCAGCCTGGTGACCAGGAAGAGAAAGAGACATTTCTGGAAGAAGAACAAGTACGCATCCACGCCTTTCTCCCTGAAGGACATTCTTGTTGGAGAAAAGGAGATCACGGCAGGTAAAGGAAGGTCTCAAGCCTCAACTATGACCAGATAATAATTATAATAATAATAAAAATAATGGATTACTTTTAATGCCATTTAGAATTGTAAAATGAAAAATAATGTAATATAATATGTAGTCAATGTGGTTATTATTGTACTGTATAATATCTCAGAAAGTGCTTTTTTTCTATAAAGACACTTTTCAGACATTTTTACAAAGTAACTGAACACAGATAAACAAATTCTGACCTTGATCTGGTTGTTCTTGCCTTAGATTTTTACTCTGCAGGTTATTACTTGTATTATTTTTCCAAATAGACAATAATTCTCATTACCTCTGAACCAAACAAAATAGCTTCTAAAACTATTTCAAAAAGGGGTTCAAACAAACTTCAAGCTAGCATGAAAATAATTTTAGGCATTAAACCTATAAACAGACATTTAGTTGTGCGCTTGCTTTTTTACAACTTTTTTGTTTCATTCTTTTGATTTTTTGGCCTATGAGCTCTTCATCATCAGTAGTCTATACTGTTATTTTATATGTGCATGAATGGGTAACTTATGAGAGTTTGTGTAGATTTCAAACCAGTGTGCGGGATTTTTAAGTTCTTTATTAGCTTGTTAGCTGTTAGCTTTCAGCCATAATGGGGAGGCTGTGCTAAGTTAGCATTTACTGCAATTTCAATTGTAATGATTTAAATTACATGTTATTTAATAAGCCATAAGGCATATGATTCCATAGGAAATATGAAATCAACCTTACGGATATGTGAGGTTATTTAAACCAGAAGATTGGAACTTTTTATTGCAGGGATTAAATAACCGCTTCGTATTCACTCAGAGACAACAGAAAAGAGAGAGAGTCGAGTTTAAAAGTTTAAAAATTTATTAAAAAACAATTAAACTAGACTAACTTTAACACTAAATGTATGGTGTAACTAAGGTGGATGAGATGGAGAATGGTGTGATGTGGAATGTTGTTCAGAACCAACAAATCCGAAGAAACGATTAGTTCTGATGGGAATGAAGGTGATGTCTTCGCGCTAAGCTTTGGTTATTCATAAACACATTCGACGCCATTTGTCGTCTACCTACCCTGAGCGGAAGTCCCCGTCTAGATCAGGAGGTGTAAAGGTCCAGCTTGACCTTATGGAGCCGGAGCCGGTAGAAGCAGCCGTGGCAACCGACCACCCGTCTTGAGATACTTCCGGGTCACGACAAGTTTGTTGGCATCTAGCGAGACCCAAACCTGGGTCGTGATGGTTCAGCTTTTATTCTGAAAGGAACCTTTGCAGCAGGTGGAACAGCAACAGATTTTATCCAGCTTGTCGTTGGTTCTTTCGGTTAAAGAGGAAAGTTACGGATTGGCCACTCCGACAACTTCTCTAGAACGCTTTGAACTGGCGTTAAAGATGGCGTGGGCATAGTTTTATACGTCAGATGTTTTGGTTTATGGTCGAATGAAAAGATGACAGATTTACCAAACACCACCAAAACCACTCCTCCGTCATATCTGGCAGATTCTGAATGGATCAGTAAAAGCAATGTGTCATCTCTTAACGCTACGTGAGATCAGTCCTAGTGGAAACATATAAAGTCATATTACTTTTATATTCTATAGGATTATAATAAAGTAATTAATATTATGATTTCACAGATTGGTCACATCTTATTTATTGACTAACACTTTGCGTGATTAGCTTATTAAAATAGAGTTATTTGATTAATTAAAAGGAGAGAATCCTTTCTTTGTTCTTTTGTTGAGCTGAAAAGAAGCAGTTTATAAGCAAATGCATGAGACCTTGAGACCATATCTCATGCAGACTAGTCCTGTGTCAGAGGAGAGGGGGAAAATGACTTTTGATGGAAAACAGTCATTTCATTCTGTTACATAATGTTAGGTAGGAGTTGTGCTGCGTTCCAGTTGTCCTCTGAACTCGGAATTTCTGAGCAGGAAATTACGTAACGGGCTCTTTTATCGTTCCAGCTTCCAACTCGGAAAAAATGGACGCCGCCAGTGTTGTTAAAAGAACTTAACCAAACTTCTAACCTATTCTCTGCACCTAAATAATAATGACACACACGCCCTCCGACAGTTGCCACATACAACCAGAAAAACATTACAATTCAAATGTAAATATATAAACGCCAACACAGGAAAAATCATAAACACCGGTCAATTTTGGCAGCAATGTTGAATTTTTCAACAATGTAACTATTGATAACAACAATATACAACTACGTGGTGCTGTTATATAGCAAAAGAAAAGAAAAGAAAAGAAAAGAAAAGAAAAGAAAAGAAAAGAAAAGAAAAGAAAAGAAAAGAAAAGAAAAAAGAAAAGAGAACATAAAAATGAGAAAAGAATAAAGATGATAACTACTTATTGGTAGCACTGGGCGCAGCCATCTTTAAAGGGGCATTATGGAAGTTTGACAGCCAAAACATGTATAGAAATAATAAATGTCTTCTTCATACATTCTCCTGCAATGCCCTGGTCCTGTGGAATGAGTCCTGGCATTTTTACTGTGATTGCCTGTTTTTCTGTAAAATCACAGAAAAAGAGAGATGCTCGGGTCGAGCAGGCTGCTTCATGCGCGTTCACGCTCAGGCATCGCCCGTAGCGTTTGCTATCCGTAGCTTTAGCAGCAGAGAGAGAGGCAGTGCCACTTTGTCGCTGTTCCTAACGCCTAGTGACAAAGCTAGCTACATTTCTGAGGACCCTTAGCTATTTTCTGTAGAACTTTCTTCTAGATTTTTCCTGCAAATTAGCAACAAAATAGCCATTTTCGCTCCGAACTGTTCTTTGGTTTGACGTTTCAGCTGCCATCAAGGATATAAATGTTACAGATACAAGAGATGTTACTGGTGCTTTAGCTCACCTAATTAAACGTCAGACTCTTGTGCAGGAGATCCGGGTTTGATTCTTGATGTGAACATAGTTTATTTAGAGTTTCATTTTTTACATTAATGGTATATTTTTTACAGTAAGAGCCCCAAATTTGTATTTGAGACTCCCTGAACGGCATTGAATTCGCAGATAAAATAGATGTGGTTCAACTTTCATTTTGGAACAATTTTTCAAGCAAGGGAAGGGAATGATCTGAGCATGCAGGAGGACTGACCCATCATAAACCTTTGTCATCTGTGCTGAAGAGAAAGGTACAGAACCAAATTATTTAATTAATTAGCTGCGTGTTCTCCTGTCCTCTGTCCGCTGGGCCACACACACACACACACACACACACACACACGGAACTGTCTCAGCTGCTATTTTCGTTAAGGAGTGTGCATGTACAGCATGCGCGCCTCATGCACGAGCCTGCTATTGAAGCTGCCGTTATGCTTTTGGCCTGAGGGGGCAATCGCGAGCATAAAAATTCAAAACTCCGTAAAGTCCCTTTAAATTTGGGATCTATGAGTCCTCTGAAACCTACAAGCTTGCAGCTCCGAGTTCATTGCGTCATTTCCTGCTAACTTATCTCAGAAAAACGAGTTCCGAGGACAACTGGAACGCACCATGAGCTAAGGGAAACAACTTTGTTGTGTCCACCTCTAGGGGGCAACCTAGAATAGAAAGAAAGCAGGTGAGTGAGATGGATGCCTGATTCTGCTACATGTGGCGCAGGTTCGAATAAAGATTGGAAAATAAATTTTTGTCTACTCGTGATACTTTCTGATACAGCGACCGACCTTTACAAACTTTGCCTCATGTGTAGGGCCTGACACAGATTGAATAAGGTTAAAAGAGGTAAGTAGTTGCAAAAACTCCTTAACCAGAGGTTTAGTTGCACAGCAGACGTGAATGTTAAAATCACCAACAATTAAAAGCTTTTCAGCATTAAGAACGAGACCTGCCATAAAATAAGAAATATCAGCAATAAAAACAGGAAACTATTAATACAGAAATAAAAAAAACAACCTCCACACCTCTTAGACCAAGGGAGTGAAACAGTTGGGAGGCTTGTCCAGGATAAATGTAACCAAGATTGCTGAAGATCAAAATTAGACAAGAAATATAATAATAATAATAATAATAATAATAATAATAATAATAATAATAATAATGATAATAATAATAATAATAATAATAATAATAATAATAATAATAATAATAATAATAATAATAATAATAATAATGATAATAATAATGATAATAATAATAATAATAATAATAATAATAATATGCGTAATAAAATCATAAATGAGTGTTTTTTTTTTCAGGAGTGTCCTCTTATCAGCTCCTCAACTACGAGGACAAGTCTGATGTAGCTGTTAACGGTCGCCTAGGTAACCACATCATCAACGATGTGGGGTTCAACATCAGCGGGTCGGACTCTGTGGCCGTCAAAGCTTCCTTTGGCATTGTGACCAAACACGAGCTGGAGGTGCCCACGTTGCTACGGGAACTTAACTCCAGGTATCACAAACATCCGCAGCTTCATTAGCCTGAGCGGCTAACTCTTCCCAGGGTCAAACGTCGTCTTTAATAAGTCGACGCCTGACTTCAGACATGTCGGGTATGGAGGGAATGTGAGACAGGGGATTCGCTGTAAGGATGAATAAATGATTGTGTTATCCAACACTGCAGCTCATGCCAATGCTGTATTACAAAAGCTGACGGGGAGTAGAAAGAATTATCCTGTAGAAGTTGTTTTGTTTGTTCTTTCCAGGAAAGTGGACCTGGACCACTGCTTGGTCCGACAGTCCAAGGAGAGCGGACGAACTGTCCTCTGTGTTGTTGTTGAGAGCATCAGAACCACACGCCAGTGCTCTCTCACCGTCCATGCTGGCATGCGAGGGACAACCATGAGGGTATTTATACCATTACTACAACATAAATATTAACTAGAGACCTGCGTTTTCTCATCTAGAACGCACCAGAATTCTAAAACAAACATCATTTTACAAGTCGCATAAAATATTAATTTTACATGTTGATTTTATTTATTTTATTTCTGCCATTATATGGCAAATGGCCTGTATTTGATATAGTGTCTTCTAGAGTCCTGTAACCCCCCAAGGCACTTTACAACACAATCAGTCATTCATCCATTCACACACACATTACGTCATTCACACCTTGGTGGGGATGAGCTACATTGTAGCCACAGCTGCCGGTCCCTTCAGGCAGGGGGGGTTAGTTGTCTTGCCCAAGGACACAACAACAGCGACAAACTGAGCGGGGCTCGAACCTGCAACCTTCCGATTACGGGACGAGCACTTATCTCCTGTGCCACCGTCGCCCCATGATATATTTTATAAATATCATATATCTGTTGTAGATCTTGAGCTCTATGTTATTTAGTGCAAACATCTAGCCTGGTATTGTATGTCTACAGTGATCCCTCGCTACTTTGCGGTTCGTTTATCGCGGATTCACGACTTCGCGGATTTTTTCTTAGGAGCCTTATTCAAGGCAAATTTGCCGATTTGCGGTATTTTTCACCGATTCGCAGTATTTTTCTATGCGAAATATCAAGAAATTCCTGTTTTTTTCACCAATTTCATCATAAAATGCACTTTTTGTAATAAAACTATAAAAAAAAAACAAGTAAAAAAATGTTTTTCTTGAGTTTTACCCCCAAAAAGAGAATGTGATCATACGATAATTCAATATAGTACTGTACTGTAAATATGGTGTCCCTACTTCGCGGATTTTCACCTATAGCGGCCAGGTCTGGAACGCATCTACCGCGATAAATGAGGGATCACTGTATATGTTGTAGTCTGGCCACGACACATAGACAAAGCTCAGTCATGAGGTAGAATACGATTGACTTTCAAATGGTCTCTGTAAGCAATTTGACAATGCTAGGACCAATCAGAGCAAAGAACAATGTGACATATTCATCATTACTGTAATTAGTTAATGGAGCAGAGAAAGAGGAAGAAGAAAGAAGAAGCAAATACATCCTGTTTCAAAAAGACTTAAGTACCTCCATATGCTCATGCCTCAAAAAATATCCCAGGTCTTAATTTTCATTTCAAGCAAGCACCGTTCCAAAAACTACACCACCTTTGTAGCGTTTCTCCATCACAGTTCTGGTGCTAAGGCCGTCCAAAGTTTCACTACAAACAGAGAGTGCTGTGATTGGCCCGACCTAAAATTGTTTAGCCCAATGGTGGACCTGCTGATGCTACAATGGAGCGTGGCTAGACCAACCTGCAGACCAATCTAGATGCCTAAAGAGCTACGCTTTCATTGTGGCCTTCACGAGTCCCTAATATTTCTGCCAAAATAAGTCAAAAATGGTAAATGGATGGAGATAAACAACAGTTCAGGAACCTTTAAAATATCGTCAGGTTTTTATTACAGAGATGTTTTCAAAGAAATGTTTACAAATGTCCTTTGTTTGATTTTCACGAGAGATCTCTCGGCTGCAGTTTCAGATCGATGACGGCAGGAACCCCAAAGGTCGGGACAAAGCCATTGTCATTCCGGCTCACACTACCATAGCCTATGGGATCTGTGAGCTGTTCATCCGACTGGATGGGCGACTCGGTAGGAGGAGCATTTAACAGATCTGACTGTGAGGTGTAGCGAGCTCTGGCTTCTTAACCCTCTGGAGGCAGGCGTTGCAGATTAGCAAGGTTAAAACCTACCTACCTGGTTACTCCACAGACGTATATCATGAGCATTTTTTAACTCAGAAGTACCCCTGAAGGACTTAGTTGTTCGTCCTTTTATCAAAACTTATTTTGAGCCTGAGAGGGTTAATGAGACTCTGGGAATCTTCCGTAAAAATTATTCAGCAGACCTCCAATTTTCCATTTTATAGGCAAAAATGATCATTTAATCAACTGTTAGAGTTCAGATGATGTCCAGTTGAAGGCGGTGTTAAACTGGACCCATGTTCTGTGTTGTTAGATATCTGTGTTGCTCCAGAGTCTCAGGGTGGGTTTGAAAGGGAACAGATCCGGGAACAGTTGGGGGGAATCGTCGGTCGTTTCTCCATGGGTCGACTGCGCCGCTTCCTGTCTGGGATCATCTACGGAAATCCCTTCAGAGCCGGTAGGGTCACAGTAGATTTGAGAAGGTCTGCCCTCAGTAGCTTCTTTGCTCATATGCAGCCCCTTTTTGCAGATGAGCGAACGTTCGAGGAGCTGACCCACACCGACACCTACATGGACGACGCGGTGGCCGACTACTACGAGAAGGCGGCCAGCATGACGGACGTGTCCACCGCCTACCTGAGGGAGAGTTCCCACACGCGAGTCAACCTCCTCAAACACAACATCCCCAAAGGTCCCTGCGCGCTGTGCGGCATGGGAACCCAGCGGCGGGAAACCGTCTACGGTTGCCTGGAGTGTTCCACCGGAGGACAGAAGTACGTGCGGCTGCACGCGGTGCCTTGCTTTGACCTGTGGCACAAAACTCTCAGGTGAAAAAGGAACGTTTTTGGACATCTTCGTTGATGTGCCTCGGAAGAAGAATCCAAGCATCACAGTTTAAAAATTTTATTCAATGCTCATTTGCACCATGAGTGCCAGCAGTCATTTCAAAGAGGAATAAGAATAAGAATACCTTTATTTATCCCTCAGTGGGAAACACAAAAGACGTCACACAAGAGTATAATTGTAAATTAGCATAATTGTTGCACATTTTAACAATAGCAGTAGTAATATTGCACATGTCAGCGATGATATTAGTAGTGGAATGTTACAGATGTATGGGTTCCATATTACTGCGACGGACTGGCTCTCTGTCTAGAAGAAGAAGAAGAAGAAAGTGTCATTTCTATAGCGCCTCTCAAGATAAAAAATCGCGAGGCGCTTCACAAAAAAAAACAAAAAATGTAAAAATATAAAAAAGCATTTAGAAAATGTTAAAAATATATTTAAAATGAGCAAAAATAGGCAATTGTGATTAAAAATGTTAAGAAAGAGAGTGGTGAAGAAGGTCATACAAAAGCCAGCTTGAACAAGTGAGTCTTCAGCTGCTTTTTAAAGGAGACCACTGAGTCCACTGGTCTCAGGCTCAGGGGGAGAGAGGTCCAGAGTCTGGGGGCCACAGCAGCAAATGATCTGTTACCTTTGGTCTTTAGCCTGGTGCTGCACAACCAGTAGGCTTTGATCACTGGACCTCAGGGACCTGCTGGGGGTGTAGGGACTGAGAAAATCACCAATGTAACATGGTGCTTGACCATGTAAGGCCCTATAGACCAGAACCAGGATGTTGAAATGAACCCTGAAGTTGACTGGCAGCCAGTGAAGCTGGAGGAGAAGCGGGGTGATGTGGGTGTGTTTCGAGGACTTGGTCAGAAGCCGAGCACAGGCGTTCTGAACCACCTGTAGACGGTTCAGGGAGGCTCTGCTCAGACACGTGAAAAGAGAGTTACAGTAGTCTAAGCGTGAGGAGATGAAGGTGTGGAGAACTGTCTCAAGTTCAGAGCGGGACAGAATGGGACTCAGCTTAGCAATGTTCCTGAGATGGAAGAAGGAAGAGCGAACAAGAGAACTGACATGAGAATCCAGGGTGAGAGCTGGGTCAAAGGTCACACCAAGATTCCTGACAGAAGGTTTGGTGTGAGAAGCAAGCTGACTGGGGTGTACCCCGCCTGATTGCCCATTGACCGCTGGAGATAGGCACCAGCCCCCCCACGACCCTACATGGACAAGCGGGTTCAGACAATGGATGGATGGATGGATGGATGGATGGATGGATGGATGGATGGATGGATGGATGGATGGATGGATGGGTTCCATATTAGCAGTGACCATTATGGTAATGACCCGTGGTATCTGTCCTTCACACAGCGAGGATGGATCAGTCTGTCACTGAAGCAGCTCTCCAGAGCAGACAGGACATCCTGCAGGGACGTTTGTTGTTCTGTTTGTTTCATCTATGATTTCCTTAAGGTTGCATTCATGCATTCAAGTGAATAAGATTTGTGTAAAAAGGGTCAAATGTAATTTAAAATGGAGGAATGGATGATTCCCTCTAAAAAAACCCACCTTCCATGACTTTGTACAAATGCTCAGTTTTTTCCTGTTGTTTGTTTTGTTTTTTGACTTAAACTTGTCTCCTGTTTTGTTGAATGCTTGTCTTTTAACATTCTCAAGACTTTGGTAACACCAAAGGTCAGACTAAATTTGTACTCAGAAATAACAAATATTCCAGATAAAATGCACCAAAAAAGAAGCTAATTGTGAGATGATTAGATTAAATTTAACATCTAAAGCCAAAATAGTTTTAGCATTTTAACGTATGTGACACAACAATCACAATTTATCAAACATGTAAGAAAATTGCTAAAAATTAATAAATAAATAATTCAAAGATCAATCAATGACAAAAGGACGCTTTAAAGAAAAATTCTACACAAATTGGCTAATAATTGTATAATAATCCAAGCAAAAAAGTCAAAAAAAAATAAAGAAATAATATTAATAACTACACAGAAACTGAGTCTCAAGCAAACAACTGATGTATGTAAAGTAGAAGTTGTTAAAAAAACAAAGATTCTTGAACTGCAGCAGTAGGCTCAGATGGTCACACATAAGGACTTTTATGTTTTGACAGTTTTTTGGGGGAGATTGAAGTTAAGAATTAGAAGAAGAAGAGAAAGAAGCATTCATATAGGCAAGGCAGCTTTATGTCTAAAGCACAATTCAAACACAGAGGCAATTCGATGTGCTTTACAATTACCAGGACATGATATGAAAACAACATAAATACACAAACTAAAATACACACAGATGGAATTACAGTTTAGAGCTGAAGGAGACAAAGTTACAGCGCAGATTACGGTGGAGATGACTCATGATAAACGATGCTTTTAAATGCTGATGAGTACATGAGGGTTTTAGTTTTGATTTAAACAACACTAGGGTCGGGGCAGATCTGAGGTCATGGGGGAGCTGATTCCATACGTGAGCAGCATAGTAGCTAAATGCATCTCCACCATGTTTGGTTCTGACCCGTAGTTCTACCAGCTGATTGTTTCCAAGGGATCTCAGAGCCCTATTGGGTGTATATAGAGGAATGAGATCTGACATGTATTTTGGTCCCATGCCATTGAGTGATTTATAAACTAGTAGGAGCACTTTGAAGTAATTCTGTAGTTTACTGGTAACCAGTGTAGGGATCTAGGAGTGATGTGCTCCGTTTTCTTAGTTCTTGTTAAGACTCTAGCAGCAGCATTCTGAACAAGCTGCAGTTGCTTCACAGCTTTTTTGGGAAGACCAGTTAGGAGACCATTGCGATAGTCCAGCCGACTGGAAATAAAAGCATGAATAAGTTTCTCTAAGTCTGGTCTGGACATGAGACCTCTGATGTTTGATGAAGGTGATAAAACGCTGATTTAGTTATAGCCTTAATATGTCCAGAGAAGCTCAGGTCGGAGTCAATGATAACACCAAGATTTCTAACCTGGGTCTTTGTCTTTATTCCCCTGGAGTCTAGCTGAACAAGAACATCCATTCTATCCTTCTTGTTGCCAAAGACAATAACTTCAGTCTTGTCTTTGTTTAGCTGAATGACGTTTGACTGCATCCAGTCCTTTACTTGTTCTTGCCACTGACAGAGTAGTAGTACTTTCACAGAGAAAATCACAAAGTGGTTCACAAAAAGGAAAACCCTCACTTCTTTTTATGAAGAATATGTTTTTTTCCCCCAGAGCTGCAAAATATAAAATTTACAGAATTTGAAACAAAACTGCAAGTAAAAATAATAAAGGAGCTTCTGCTTTCAAAAACATATGACCTAGGCTAGTTTAATGGGTTTGTTCTATCCAAAATCACCCAAATAAGACGTAACTTGAATTATGGCACAAACTAGACAAAAACTCCATAATCCGCTACAGACCGAATTTATTCTGTGTAAAGAATTTTTGTCACGTTGTTGGGACTTCATTTGTCCAGAGGGTGGCGCTGTAGGATTTTCAAGAACTAAAACCGGAAGTTACGTGTATCAACAAGACGCACGCACGTGCGGAGGAAGAAGCTGCATGCTTTGCCGTTCAGGCTTCTGCGAGCAATTATGATTATTTAAGAACATAATACATGTAAAAAAAACGGACGAGTATCTATTAAAATGAAGTTTGCATATAGGGTAAGTACCGCGCACTAATATGACGTCATAATGTCGCCTGGCTTTTATTATCGAGTTTGTGAGAACGTCCAAACAAATCCCATTAAAAAGTCTAATTTAAGATCGTGTTAGGTTGTTTTTGCTATCATAGATATGTCATCTACATTTACTGATTATCTGACCAACGTATCCGTTTATCACGGATAATTCGGTTTATTTTGTACATATAAAACACAAACTTTGAGTCTGTATCTGGAGAAAACGGCTTCTGTTGGCTGTAATAGCACCGCTGTTTGCTTTCTGAAGTTTTCCAACTTGCTCGGAGCAGTTTATCGTCAGGGAAACCTAAACTTCTCCAGAGATGGGAACGCTGTGATCAGTCCAGTTGGAAACAGAATCTCAATCTTTGACCTGAAGAAGTAAGAATTTCTTTGTTACGTCTTTCCTCTAAAATGTGGCAATATTTTCAGCTATTTTCATCCAATATCAACTCACAGCATTTGTTTATAACCAGATCTCAGACATGTAAGATGGGTAGTTTATTAATTTTATAATTTTCTTATATTTTATGACGAAAAAAAAGCCATAAGACCAAAGATTTTTGTTTTTCAGCAACACATCGGAGACATTACCCGTCTCCACTACAAAGAATATATCCTGTGTGGGTCTGTCTCCTGATGGGAACTTGGCGATTGTGGTGGATGAAGGTAAAATGTATAATTTAATAAAGAGCAGCTGCTTTAACGAGATGCGGTGACCCAACGGTTTACGTCCTCCAGATGGCGCGGCGCTGCTGATCAGCCTCATCAGTCGAGCTGTCCTCCATCACTTCCACTTTCACAAACCCGTCAGCAGTGTCCGCTTCTCGCCTGATGGCAGGTAGCCGTGAGTCTCGCATGTCTCTAACGTAACTGGATGTACAGATCAATAAGAATCGTATCTTCATCTGCAGAAAGTTTGTTGTCACCAAGGAGAATGTTGCGCTGATGTATCACGCTCCTGGGAAGCAGCGAGAGTTTAACGCCTTTGTTTTGGACAAGAGCTACTACGGTCCGTACGATGAGACGACCTGCATCGACTGGACGGACGACTCCAAGTGAGTAAGACGTGGAGACTGAGACACGGGAGCTTATAGCAGAGTTATAACTAATGTTTCCTATTAGGTGTTTTGCTGTGGGAAGTAAAGACATGTCTACGTGGGTGTTTGGTGCGGAGCGCTGGGCCAACCTCATCTACTACTCCCTGGGTGGACATAAGGACGTTGTTGTCGGCTGTTTCTTTGAGAAGGACAGTCTAGACGTGTGTAAACATCTGCATGATTTATGCCAACAGTGCTTCTCGACTTGCACTTAAACACACCTGGTTTGTGTTGGTCTAGCTGTACACGGTGAGTCAGGACGGGGCGCTGTGTGTCTGGGAGAGCGACACCGACCCGGAAGGACTCGTTCTAAAAAAGACCCAGGACAGTCCTAAACCGCTGAGACAGGAGGAGGAGGAGGAGGATGACGAAGGCCGGGTGGAGGGAGAGGAAGGAGAGGTGATCAGAGGAAAATCTGAAGCTCCCAAAGAGAAAAACAAAGTAAAAAATGTTCGATACAAGCAGAGGAGCAAGTAAGTTCTGACGTAGATTCTGTCTGGTGCCTCAGAGGGCAATTCTTCATGTATTATGAGAAGATTCCTGTAAAATGATACTTTATGTGAATATTTGTCCTAAAAAAAAAGATGTATTTCTATCCGTTTTCAGGCATTTCTTCAATAAAGAAGGGGATTTCAACAACCTGACCGCTGCTTCATACCACAAACCGACTCACATCCTGGTCACAGGCTTCGCCTCCGGAATATTCCACCTGCACGAACTCCCAGAATTCAACCTGATCCACTCTCTCAGGTCTGGACTGGTTGGAATAAGGCGTTAAACCTGAGTCGTGTGTGTGTGTGTGTGTGTGTGCGCGTGCGTGCGTGCGTCTGTGTCTGTGTCTGTTAGGGTTGTCACGGTGTGAAGATTTAACCTCACGGTTATTGTGACCAAAATTATCGCGGCATTTTTTTGAACGTGCTACATTTTCACACAATTAAATAAACCCTGTATGTCAGGAAAATATTGTCCTCAGTTTGTGTCTAAATTTTGCCTAAAATATGTTATTTTGTAATTATGTTGTTTATTTTTTACATGTTTCCCCTTTAGTCTTTAAAATACCAATATTTGCCCATAACTTCTTATTTTATGTCTGTTTGATGTCATCATTTAAAAATATTAGATCAGATGATACTCAGTACTCAAGTAGCCTTCTAATCAGATACTTTTTTACCCTTACTTGAGTAATAAACCCTATATCAGGAAAATATTGTCCTCGGTTTGTGTCCTTCCAGTGAGCTTTGCAGATGTGGGAAAATGTCATCAGGCAGTAATCGTTGTTAAATTCATAATTATTCTCGGAGAGAGACCAACTCTTATCGGCCCCTGGGAGCCCCGTAATGCATAGCGTCATTTCAACATGGGGTGTCCGCGACACGGTTTATATGCAGGTAGCGGCGCTGCGGCTGCTTTATATAGCGACTCGTTGCATTCTCCCTCAACCCAAATCCTCGGATCACGCATTTTAGCTAAAACGCTAACGTTAGCTTGCCTTGCGTTGACTGTAGAGTTGTGGGTGATGGTCACGCAGATGTGTCATGAGATTTGAAGCGTTGCTGCCTTTCAGACACTTTTTCTGCACGTGCTGCAAACAGGATAGCCGTCTTCTATCAGCTGTCCCTCGGCATTCTTCAAATATCCAAAAGATGCCCGTACTTCCCACTTTGTCTTCTTTGAGGGATAATAAATGTCCTGAGCGCTGCCGTCTCCTCCTTTGGCCATTATTTCAGCTTTAGCCTCAAGAAAGTTTTGGTTGTAAACAACAAAGTGCGCATGTGCCGCCGGCAACTTCAGCAGATGATACGGTGGCTGGTGAGGGTCACCGCGCCTACACCGCAGCCACGGTAATCCACCGAGATAATATAGTTTTAAAAAACAAGACGGTTAATATTATTGTCAACTTTGTTTTACCGGGGTTTACCGCTACACCGGTTACCGTGACGACCCTACTGTGTGTGTGTGTGTGTCTCTGTCTGTCTGTCTGTCTGACGGACCTGTCCTTCAGCATTTCAGATCAGAAGATTGCCTCGGTGGCTCTCAACAGCTCCGGAGACTGGATCGCTTTAGGATGCTCGAGTAAGGATCGCCTTGCAGTGTTCTGAGCATTTTGGTGTGATTGAGTCAGATTCAGGAGTTAAAATGGTTTCCAGGGATGGGTCAGCTGCTGGTGTGGGAGTGGCAGAGCGAGTCGTACGTCTTCAAGCAGCAGGGACATTTCAACAACATGGCGTCGCTGGCGTACTCGCCAGACGGGCAGCACATCGTCACAGGAGGAGACGACGGCAAAGTGGGTCCTCTTTCAACTATTTTCTACTCTTCACAATTATTTGATAATTATTATAATATCATGGGCATAATTTTCACTTTAGAAGTGGAGGGGGTATCTTTACAGTATGTTCTAATGGGAAACAGGCTTCAACACAAACGGTTGTTTTCTGCTTGGTCCTAGAGCTCAACCAGTGTCAATTTAATACAGTGTAATATTGTTTTTGGATGGTAAAAAGTGCAGGGGTCAAAACTTGACTTTGGAAAAAGTGGGGGGGGGGGGGGGGGGGGGGGGGACATGTCCCCCGTCCCCCCCCTAAATTATGTCCATGTATAATATAATTTAATATTAACCAAAAACCTCTTGGGTCCAGCATGTCATTGTCTGACTTTAATATGTAGCTTAGTGGGTTCTGTTCTAGGTGGTTCTGCTCTTCTCTTTATTTTTATACAGTCCATTTTGGGAATTGTCTGTTTGCGGCCGTCTGCTCCTGGGACATCTGCGTCGGGATCTACTTCCCAGTGCTAGGCTCTGTTGTACTTTTGTCATCGTCTGTTTTTTCCCCCCTCGATAAAACATCGCGATGGTTTTATTCCCCAGAACAAGTCCTCTGTTCCTATTTTCACAAAATGCAACAAAATGTTTTTAAAACCATTTAAAGTTTTTTACTCTTAACAACGAGAGTTTTTGCTTTTTTATCATCCTTTGGGGCAAAAAAATAAATTAATAATTAGGGATGTAAGAAAACATTGATACATTGAAATATTTTAGTTCATGTTATGATATAATTTAATATTTAAGAGCAGAATACAGTATAGACATTTACTATATTGTTTTTTATTTTTGGGTGCAGTTCATAGTCTGACTGCCAGGGAGCAGCAGGAACCACCACATGGGTCCTAGTCTGGCAGTTAAATCCAGCCTTTAAAATGGGCTTTTCTACACAACCGTAACATTTAGAGATGTAAGAAAATATCAGTATGGCGAGGTATGGTGATATTTTTTCCTGCAGTATTATATCAATATTCAAAAGCCGGGTATCGAACTTTTGGAAGAATTTACGTGCAAACGTTTTCTTTTCTTTTGGTGGATTTCAAACACCGACCACTAGTTGGCAGCAGAGTACAGTGGGTTTTGTTTCCACCACTGAAATGTAAGTCCCTCTATTATGGTTCAGATACCTCATGTTAATCATGCCATGTATCAGTTTGCATTGAATTTTCCTAAAATAAATTCAGTCTAACAAAACTGCTAATATCGTCTGGCTGAATGAATTGCAATATATTGTTATATATCGTATCATCGCCCCTGTATCGTGATGCGTATCGAATCACCCGAATTGGGCAGCAGTAGCTCAACAGGTTGAGCGGGTTGTCTAGTAATCGGAAGGTTGCAGGTTCGATCCCGGCTCCGGACAGATAATTCTGCTGTTGTGTCCTTGGGCAAGACACTTAACCCACCCTGCCTGCTGGTGGTGGTCGGAGGGACCGGTGACGCCTGTGCTTGGAGTCCTTACTCTGAGAGGCGCTGTACAAGTGCGGGTCATTTATCATTTCACCAATACACATGCCTAGTAACATTAACTCATTCACTGCCAGCCGTTTCTCACCGTTTTTACTGTTTTATAAGAGTCACAGAACGTTGCGCGCTAGGATGATGTTGACGCCAAAACAAAGCAGAGACTCAGTTCAATTCAATTTTATATATATAGCGCCAAATCACGACAAGAGTCGTCTCAAGGCACTTCACATAATAAACATTCCAATTCAGGTCAGTTCATTAAGCCAATCAGAAATAATGTTTCCTATATAAGGAACCCAGCAAATTGCATCAAGTCACTGACTAGTGTCAGTGACTTTACAGCAATCCTCATACTAAGCAAGCATATAGCGACAGTGGAGAGGAAAACTCCCTTTTAACAGGAAGAAACCTCCAGAGGATCCTGGCTCAGTATAAGCAGCCATCCTCCACGACTCACTGGGGATCGAGAAGATAGAGCACACGCACGCACACACACACACACACACACACACACACACACACACACACACACACACACCAAGCAATATTTCTATGGTTACATTGTGATTTCTTAGTAAATTTTCTATTTGACGAGAGATACACTTTATTGTATTTATCCTAGTGGATCTATAATTAAACGGGTAAACTAGTAGTAGCACATCCAACGTCAAGGAAAGCAAAAAAGTTATTATCAGGAGAGGGAGAATGCTTTAGTGGTTAGCAGCAGTGTGCTAGTCGATGCCCCCTCCATGAGGCCACCACAGCTCAGCAGAACATCATTGTAGCTTCTTCTGGGGAGAAAAACACTTAGAGAGAAAATAAAGTTAACAGCTGAAATTGCAGAAAATAATACAGTTAAAGAGCAGATTGTAGAAGAAAGCAGTAGAGTGTGGAAAGTGGTCAGTGTATCCTCCAGCAGTCTAAGCCTATAGCAGCATAACTACAGAGATACAGTAACTCTGGATAATCTATCCTATTTAGATGGAAGAATTTTGGAGTAAGGGCAAGGGAGAGCCGTCTTTACTGACTGTACACTCCACCTCCCTCTACTCCCCCACTTGTCCAGATCTAGGCTAACATCAGATTTCAACCATAGGCCCTATCAAATAAAAATGTTTTAAGCCTATTCTTAAAAGTAGACAAGGTGTCTGCCTCACGGACTAAAGCTGGGAGCTGGTTCCACAGGAGAGGAGCCTGATAACTAAAAGATCTGCCTCCCATCCTAATTTTAGATATTCTGGGAACCACCAGTAAACCTGCAGTCTGAGAGCGAAGTGCTCGGTTAGGAACGTATGGAACAATCAGATTACTGATTGACAAGGTGTCAAGTGAGTGAACTCGCTTCTTACATCAGGAAGAATCTGCACGTTTCGAGCGTTATCCGTTCTTTCATAATCCGTTGTTGAATTGTGATCAGCAAAAGCTTTTCCGGTTCACGCCTCACTTTTTTTACAGCAGCGGCCCAAAAAGATCTCCTAACACATGGATTTTCTGCTTCCTGATCACGTGACGTGTGATGTATGCGGATGAAGATCGGCTTTAGTGCTGGGATGTTTGTTCTCACGGTGCGGGGGCTCGTTACAACGCCCACACAGTAAAAAAATGCAAATAACGACTTTAGTCACTGGCAGTGAACGAGTTAATATTAAAGTAATTGAAAATTTTAATGTTTTATTTGAACTTCTTCATATTTTTGGAAATTGTTTTGTTTAGTTGATTTATTTTCTCTGTTATAAGAAATTAGGAAAAAAAGCTCTTGAAAAGGTGCGATTCTCAAAGCGTCTGACTTGTGTTCAGGTTAAAGTGTGGAACAGCAACAGCGGCCTCTGCTTCGTCACCTTCACCGAGCACACCAGCAGCGTCACAAACGTCACCTTCACCTCTAGTGGCTTCGTCATCGTCAGCGCGTCTCTGGACGGGATGGTCCGAGCGTTCGACCTGCACAGGTGAGCTCGCAGCCGCGGGAGGCGACGCTCGCTCACGTATCAGAGATGGACAGGAAATGACGTGGAATGTTTTTATTTATTTATTTATTTATTGTAGGTATCGAAACTTCAGGACGTTCACCTCTCCTCGTCCTGCTCAGTTCTCCTCCCTCGCTGTAGATGTCAGTGGAGAGCTGGTGAGCGCCGGAGCACAGGACTCCTTTGAGATCTTCCTCTGGTCCATGCAGACGGGCCGTCTCCTGGAGGTGAGGACGTCTCCCAACATCAGGTGGAGGAGTCAAGCTTCTGGAGTGTCTGACTGTGTGTGTGATTGTTCAGGTCCTTGGGGGACACGAGGGTCCGGTCAGCTGCCTGTGCTTCAGCCCGGTTCAGTCCATCCTGGCCAGCGTCTCATGGGACCGCACTGTCCGGCTGTGGGACATGTCTGACAGCTGGCAGGTCAAAGAAACGCTTTCCCTCACATCTGATGGTGATTTGAAAACCTTTGTTGATATAAATTCATTCGTGAATGCTGCCACTAGAGGGCGCCAAATGGGGAGATTCATCGTTTAAAGGGACTTAACGGAGTTTTGAATTTTTATGCTCGCGATCGCCCCCTCAGGCCAAAAGCGTAACAGCAGCTTCAATAGTAGGCTCGTGCACGCATGCTGTACGTGCACACTCCTTAACGATAATAACAGCTGAGGCAGTCCTGTGTGTGTGTGTGTGTGTGTGTGTGTGTGTGTGTGTGTGTGTGTGTGTGTGTGTGTGTGTGTGTGTGTGTGGCCCAGAGGACAGGAGAACGCGCAGCTAATTAATTAAATAATTTGGTTCTCTACCTTTCTCTTCAGCACAGCCGACAAAGGTTTATGATGGGTCAGTCCTCCTGCATGCTCAGATCATTCCCTTCCCTTGCTTGAAAAATTGTTCCAAAATGAAAGTTGAACCCACATCTTTTTTATCTGTGAATTCAATGCCGTTCGGCGAGTCTCAAATAAAAATTTGGGCTTCTTACTGTAAAAAAATATACCATTAATGTAAAAAAGAAACTCTAAATGTTCACACCGAGAATCAAACCCGGGTCTTCTGCACGAGAGTCCGACATCTTACTAGGTGAGCTAAAGCGCCAGTGACATCCTTTGTATCTGTAACATTTATATCCTTAATGACAGCTGAAACAACGTCAAACCAAATAACGGTTCGGAGTGAAAATGGCTATTTTGTTGCTAATTTGCAGGAAATATCTAGAAGAAAGTTCTACAGAAAGTAGCTAAGGGTCCTCAGAAATGTAGCTAGCTTTGTCACTAGGTGTTAGGAACAGCGACAAAGTGGCCCTGCCTCTCTCTCTGCTGCTAAAGCTACGGATAGCAAATGCTACGGGCGATGCCTGAGCGTGAACGCGCATGAAGCAGCCTGCTCGACCCGAGCATCTCTCTTTTTCTGTGATTTTACAGAAAAACAGGCAATCACAGTAAAAATGCCAGGACTCATTCTACAGGACCAGGGCATTGCAGGAGAATGTATGAAGAAGACATTTATTATTTCTATACATGTTTTGGCTGTCAAACTTCCATAATGCCCCTTTAAACGTCACGGAAAAGTTAGATTTGTGTTCCTTTTATTCTATTTTTGCTGTTTGTCCTTTGCAAACTAAACGTTTTTCCTTCAGGTTTGTGTGTGACGTACCGCCCTGACGGTCAGGAGTTGGCCGTAGCCACCCTGAATGGCGACATCTCCTTCTGGAACCCCCAAACCGCCTCTCAAACTGCTTCTGTAGCTGGACGCCACGACCTGGAGACCGGCCGCAAAGAGACGGACAAAATCACCGCCAAGCAGTTGGCCAAGGCCAAGTGAGTGGACACGAGCTGGCCGGTTGGTTCCGGTTTGTTTCAGGTTTTAACTCCGCTTGTGCGTCACGAAGGGCCTTCACGGCGCTCTGCTACTCTGCGGACGGGGAGTCGGTGCTGGCGGGAGGACAGTCCAAGTTTGTCTGCATCTATAACGTGAAGGAGCAGATGCTCATGAAGAAGTTTGAGATCTCCTGCAACCTGTCGTTTGACGCCATGGAGGTACGGCCCCCACCTTCACCTGGAGTCACACCGAATCAAAGCATTCAGACCTGAACCTGCGTGTCGGTTGGTTCCCGCAGGAGTTCCTGGACAGGAGGAAGATGACGGAGTTCGGCAGCTTGGCTCTGGTGGACGAAGGAGCTGGGGACGGAGACGAGGTCAACATCAGCCTGCCGGGAGTCAGGAAAGGTACCGATCCAGTTCCATTTGCTGTCGCGCTCTTTAGTGTCAGTGAGTTTTTGGTTTGATCTGATGATTGTCTTTTTTTTAAAGGTGACATGAGTTCTCGTAACTTCAAGCCAGAGATCAGAGTCAGCTCGCTTCGGTTTTCTCCAACCGGTGGGTGCCAAGCAACTCACAGGGCCTTACTTTATCATTTTAAGTCCGATCTAAAACGATTGACCTGGTTCCTCCTGTCAGGTCGAAGCTGGGCCGCCACCACCACCGAGGGCCTGTTGATCTACTCCCTAGACGGGTCTCTGGTCTTCGACCCATACGATCTGGATCTGGACGTGACGCCGACCAGCATCCGAAAACAGCTGCGCCTAAAGGAGTGGATGGCGGCCATTGTCCTGGCGTTCCGACTCAACGAGAACGCCCTGAAGCAGGAAGTTCTGGAAACGGTGCCGCACGATCAGAGTGAGTGGCTTTAAAAACCGTCGGCCAGGAGAGTTTGGACCTCTGACGCCTGACTGAGTTTGTGTTTCAGTCCCGGTGGTCTGTGGCTCTCTGCCCGACGTCTACGTGGAGAAGCTCCTGGGCTTCGTGGCCGATTGTCTGGAGAAGTCGGGTCACCTGCAGTTCTACATGACCTGGGCCCAGAACCTGCTGATGCTGCACGGACAGAAACTAAAGAACAGGTCGACACGGCTGCCTCGACTCGCATCATCATTATCATCATCAGTGTCTTAACTGGATCTCTTATGGTCCGCAGGTCTGGCTCGGTTCTGCCCACGCTGCAGGCGCTTCAGAAGAGCATCCAGAGACACTTTGACAACCTGTCAAAGCTGTACGTCTCAACACTGTTGCTCCATTAATCATCATAACTAAAATGAAGCATTAAGTCATTAAATATATATATTTATATTTTTTTTTTTTCCACAGCTGCAACTTCAACATGTACAACATCCGTTACGCTGTGGCGCTTTCAAAGCAGAAGTGTGTAAAGAGGCCTGCCGAGGAGGAGGAGAAAGAAGAGCAGGATGAAGGGTTGTCGGAGGAGATGAGCGAAGCCTCTTTAGATGACTCAGAGATGATCTTGTAGTCTGATTACTAAAAATGTCTCAGATTGACAGATGTTCAACTGTAAAAGTCCATTTTTCCATACTTTAAATATTAAAATAGCCTGTTTTTATAATAAATTCAGTAAAAGTGTCTTTCTTGTTTTTGGCTTTTTTCTGGTAAATTTATTCATTTGAGAGGCTGCTACGGGTTAATCTTTCAATTTGGCACGCAAAAAATATTTTTGGAGTTATTTCTTACTTATATTAGAAATTTACACTTAAAGACTGAATTGCCATTTGTGGTTAAAACTAGCTTTGCTGGGCAGTATTAAGTCAAAAGAAGTATTTCTAGAAATATAAAAGAACAAATCTAAAATATTATTTTTATTTAATACTAACAAAGGTAAATAGTACGACATTTTCAAGGAAAAAATACATTTTTACAGCTGAAGAATGTGGAAATATTGCCTTGAAATGTCCCAAGTTACTGTGTTAGACATTTAAATGTACAATTTAAGAGCAGAATGTATTCTTTTTAACAAATAGGTTGTTTAGGGAGTTAAAAAAAACACGGGATTTACTATTTTTAAACCGATCTGAATCCTGTCCAAAGTGAAATAAAGCAGAAAACTCAAAAAGTGGAAGCTTCTCCGTCAGTAACTAAACGTGACCAACAGGGGGTGACAGAGCGCCTTCTGAAAGTTCACCTTGCCTTAAATTAGATTGAAGAAGAAGGAACAGCGGGCGGGTTAGCCTGCGGAGCTAAAATGAGAGACAAGAGCCTGTCTGAAGCGGGAAAAGAATTACCGGCCAAAAAACAAAAACTAAGCAGTGACGAGAACAGCAACCCCGATTTGTCAGGAGACGAGAACGTAAGAGCTCTATAAACATTTCTACAACTACAAGTGAACGTTTTAGCCGGTTAGCTCAGCGCTAAAGCAAGAAGCCGGAAAGCTAAAGAGCTTAGCTAGCTGGCATCTTTGTTCACCTGCAGCTGTGGTTCTGATGGTGGTAATGGCTCTAAACCAGTCTATGTGACCCACAGAAGCATGGGCTTTTATATTTAACCTCAAAAAGCCTGGCTTGTTCGATTTAGCTTTAGCAGGAGTGATTTAGAAGCTTGTATTTATTTACAAATTCCTAAAATAAGTGTTCAAATGCAGTTTATAATGTTTATTTTTCATTTTGAGGAAAGGAAAAACTTGCTGGTAGTCTGTTTTTCATGTTAAAAGTGCTTCAAACATTTGTTTCACTTATTTCTGTCCAAATAAAGCCTAGGTTTACTGGTACTTGTCCAATAAAATGAATGTGGTTAGGTTGGGTGTTTTGTTTTGGACATCTTGTCTTTCAGTAACCGCATCTCTGGTTTACAGGATGATGCGGTCAGTGTTGAAAGTGGGACCAACACTGAGCGTCCAGACACCCCCACCAACACCGCCAATGCCCCAGGCAGGAAGAGCTGGGGCAAGGGCAAGTGGAAGTCCAAGAAGTGCAGATATTCTTTTAAATGTGTTAACAGTTTAAGAGTGAGAATGTCTGCTGTTCTAAATACATTCAAATATCATCATTTACAGAATTTAGTTTACAGGTGAAGTGGGAGTGAAACTTTGTGGATATTTTTCAGGAGGACCATGGCCAGCCACTGTTTGGAGTCCAGTTTAACTGGCACAGTAAGGAAGGAGACCCACTGGTGTTCGCCACAGTCGGGAGTAACAGGGTAACCCCAAGCAGACAGATTTTATTTGGCTTTTTCTGGGTGTTTTCATGAATTTTTCTAGTTCAGAATCAATTTTCTGCTCATCAATTCCATATCTTGCATGATAGAAAGATGGTGATGCCTTTCAAGCAATCAGACGTCCTTTTGTGTCTGATAAGCTGCTTCAAGTGTCCTTAATTTACTGTTACAGAAAATAAGAGATTTGACAAATTTTAAAGAATGATGATTATTCAGGACTTTTTTCATTAAAAATACACATTTCTTGTTGTGAAAAACATTTAGTTTTACATAAATGATATTTCTGATTTCTCTAACAGGTAACCTTGTATGAATGCCACTCTCAGGGAGAGATCCGACTGTTGCAGTCGTACGTTGATGCAGATGTATCCTTCCTGCTTTGGCTCAAACTAAACTTCACAAAAAGGAATCTGTTGTTCTTTAATTTAGATACAGATCAGTAAATGAAGATTTACAGATATGTTAACCCTTTAAGCACCAAAGTCGCAGAATTGCGACAAGCAGCAATGTTGGATTTAATAAGCCACAGCAGCAGAAATGAGCCCTCATGCATGGGGAATGTGGTGGCGGTGATCGGGCCGTTGAAAACTCTGCTGGTGATCAATTCAGCCCCTGTCTATCAGCTATCCTCTATTATCTATCTATATCTATCATCTATCTAGCTATCATCTATCTAGCTATATAAATGTGTGTATAATAATAATGATTATGATGACAGTAAAAGATGTGTTCAGCAAAGGAGGTCAAGTTCACCTTATCCAGCTAACAGAGTTCAGATAAACATAACTTCACATGTTTTTGACGCATGACCAAAGCTTTCTTCCTGAGAGAGTGGGTGTGTCCTGTGAGTTTGGTAAAACTAACCATTATAGTAACCATGTGTGTGTGTGTGTGTGTGTGTGTGTGTATATATATATATATATATATATAACAATTATAAACCAAATAAACTATAATTAAAGAAGGGATGAGTGAAATGTGTTCATGACACTGAAGCACCAAAAACAGTGTTCTTGATTGATACGCAGTAAACATAACAAAATACCAATAAAGTAATATGTATATATATATATATATATATATATATATATACACATACATAGTTGTATACATATTCCTATGTACACATATATGTATCATAAACAATAACAACACTAAGAAAATAAGACAAACAAATCCGCAAATGTGATGCAATCCAATATGGCTGCTATCTGATGATGTCATAGTATGAAAATTGTGTGAGTGAATTTGTTCCTATCACAAAATTTGGCTCATACTGAAGATTTTTCTAATTTACAATATTCCTCTATCTCTAACCAGATTTAAGCTACAAGCTCTTTAAGTAGTGATATGAAAAACTTATATTTTACTGAAAAAACGATGGCGCCTAAAGGGTTAATCATCTTTTTCTCAACATCTATTTTGGAAAGACCCAAAAGTTGATCAGTAGCTGCAGAAATGTCAGAAACTTTTTGATTTCTGCGATTTTCTTGACTGAACGCGTTCCAAGGCAGATGAGAACTTCTACACGTGTGCTTGGACCTATGACACCAACACCAGCCACCCGCTGTTGGCTGTAGCCGGGTCCCGCGGCATCATTCGGGTCATCAATCACATCACAATGCAGTGCATCAAGGTAGTCTTCCTGTAGAGAACCTCTTTGAAAATGTGGCTTTGAGGGTCATTTAGTAGTGTGTTTGTTTCCCATCCAGCACTACGTGGGTCATGGGAACGCCATCAACGAGCTCAAGTTTCACCCAAGGGATCCGAATCTTCTCCTGTCTGTCAGCAAAGGTAAAGCCCCTGATGGTGATGGTCATCGACACGCCTCCAGATGCTCCTGGATCTTTTCCCTGACAGATTCAGTGTTTTTAGTAAAAGCTTACTTGTGTGAAAATGAATAAATGATGAATTGTAACATTTGAAATTTTCTTTAGATCACGCTCTTCGTCTGTGGAACATCCAGACGGATACACTGGTGGCCATATTTGGAGGTGTAGAAGGCCATCGAGACGAAGTCCTGAGCGCTGTAGGTGTTTCATTACATTTGATCACAATTTAAACTGTCAGATTTTAATCGGAACAGAAAACACGGTTTGCACTTTTTGTTGATGCTGATTTTGACTTATTTTTATTTTATTTTTTTAAAGTATTTTTGAGGTTTGTTTTATATAAAATGGGTCAGTATTCAGCCTCAGTTCAGAGAAGAGGGTTATTTCCTTTAGGATTGATGAGCTAACGGCTAGGTACACTAACAGGTTTTTTTAATGCAGTGCTTTTCAAAATAAAAGTCAGGCGCACCACAAGAACAATGAAACATTAAAAATTGATCAAACTAGGGCTGCACGATATTAGGAAAACCTGCGATATTCGATAACAGTGATTAATATTGCGATGACGATATTACTTGCGATAAATAAAAACTTAACTCAGGAATAAAAATAATCAAAAACAAAGAAACAAAAAACTGATAAAAATGAGAAAAGCAAAAGATGTGAGGAAAGGGAAAAAGAAAAGGGAATCCGTGGATCCCGGGAAAACCGGAATCAGCAAAAAGAGCAGAGCAAAGCTAAGTCAGGTGTTTGCTAACCAGCACAATTAAGTGCCGTCCGCCTCAGGGGCGGTCATCTGACCTATGAGAACCCACCCGATTGGCCAAATGGGTGCAGAGCTCTATTTGATGTGTTAAAAAAACATCATGCTTCCGTTTGACTGACAGAATAAATTGTGTAGCAAACATTTGAGCTGACCGTTCATTGCGATATTTATCTGTTCTTTGCGATATGCATATTGTGCATCATGATATCGCGATAACGATATATTTACGATATATTGTGCAGCCCTATATTAAACAATAATAAAGATCAAGCTAAAATTGCACTAAACACAAATCACAGCATTATTTCATAAACCTGTAGGCTGTAGTTGGTCTCAGCAGAAATATTACTACATTTCTGCCAGGTTTGACCTGGATTCCAGTCATTATTGTTATGTTTTCTTTTAAAATAAGACTTTCTGTTCAAAGTCGGTCTTAAAATGTCCATTTGAAATGTTTTTGGTGGACTTGCACAGTTTAGATTGTGCATAAATGACCTAAATATTATATGAACAAGATGTTTGTCCTGAAATGTGACGGCTAATGAAGACACCTGGAACCTGATTGATGGAAAAATAAAAAAATCAAGGTGCACTGAAGTGATTGTTAGTGATCCAAGATGGAGATTTTCTTCTGCTGGAGCTGAAAACCGTTTTTGTTAAATAGAGTTTTGTCTTTTGTTCATTTCGTAGGATCTGATGAATTTTACTTCCAGGAATTGTAACAAGAATCTCTTGTTTTCATGCGTCAGGATTTTGATCTGCTGGGTGAGAAGATCATGTCCTGTGGGATGGACCACTCGCTGAAGCTCTGGAGGATCGACTCCGAGCGAATGCAGAAAGCGATTCGCGGCTCATACGAGTACAACCCCTCGAAGACAAACAGGTGAAGGAGCCCTCCTGTGTTCTTGTTGGTGGCGTGTCGTTAAAATAGTCTCGATAATTAATGAAATAAATCAAACCTCCTCTTCAGGCCGTTTGTCTCACAGAAGATTCACTTCCCCGACTTTTCAACGCGAGACATCCACAGGAACTACGTGGACTGTGTTCGGTGGCTGGGAGATCTGATTCTCTCAAAGGCAAGAGGAATTAAGTTTAGTCTGCTGGTAACATCCGATGTAGACTCCAAACTTGACGCTGGTTTTTCTTTCTGCAGTCCTGTGAAAACGCCATCGTCTGCTGGAAACCAGGGAAGATGGAGGACGACGTCGACCACATCAAACCCAACGAGTCAAACGTGACGATTCTGGGGCGGTTCGACTACAGCCAGTGTGACATTTGGTACATGAGGTTCTCCATGGACTTCTGGCAGAAGGTGGAGGAGCTTTTCGTCTGTTGGTGCGTCGGTATTAGTGGAGGATGTGTTTACTGGATGAGCGTGTGATCACACAGATGCTGGCTCTGGGGAACCAGGTGGGGAAGCTTTACGTTTGGGACCTGGAGGTGGAAGATCCTCACAAAGCAAAGTAAGTCTCCTTTTAACTGACTCGTTCCTCCGTTCACTCACGCTAAGGAGATTTACTTACACGCTGGTGTTTGATTTTGGATGAGTTAAGAGATGTTTTTCAGCTTTGAGAGTAACAGGAAGTTGGAGGTGTGACTGGTCTGGAGGCTTAAACGTGTCAAAAATTTTAAATGAAGTCTTTAAAACTGTAATTATCCAAAGTTCTTCAAACATTTCAGAGTTTCATTGATAATATAAAGTTTTAGTGACCCAATAATAAAGCAACACACCATCAAAAAGATCATCTGATGCTTGACGAGGACGGTTATTACTGGCGGACACCATGCTGATTCATGCGATGGAGGAAAGAGAATTAGGTCATCACAACTGGAACGTCAGCGACCTGAGATGATCAGTCTTTCATTCTAAATGGAATCTCCTTTTTCTGACCGGTTCTTCTAAAATAAATACGCTGTTGGAGTTGAGATATCTCAGCTGACGACAGCTGGGACCTGGATCGAGAACAGACCAACAGTTTAGGGTTATTAAAGGACATGGCTGCTTTTAAGAAGAGTCACAAACGTCCTGGAATCTCATACATGTAGAGATATGTATGTTCATGGAACCATCTGGTTTGTTGCTCTTCAGGTGCACCACGCTGACCTTCCCTAAATGCACCTCAGCCATCAGACAGACCAGCTTCAGCCGCGACAGCAGCATCCTCATCGCCGTGTGCGACGATGCATCCATCTGGCGTTGGGACCGGCAGCGCTGAGGATAGTGAACCAAGAGAAACGTGTTTCCTGTTGCTCCTGTTCCCTGACACATTGCAGGAAAAAAAAAACATTTGTCTTTTCTGTAAAAGATGCACCAAAGAAAGATTTTATCCAACAACAATGGATGTTTTAAAATAAAAAATACAATTATTGGTAATTTCCTTTGTGTGCCTTTTATAATTTATTTACAGGAAATAAAATAAGTCGAGGAACACAATTTGAATTCAAGTTTCTCAAAGAGGCAAAGCTATCAATTTTTTTTCTTGCACTGTGTCAAGCTTCATATTTTTACGTTTTTTCTTGTCTGTTTTACCGTCTCGTCTGCTTTTATTTTCCACACAAAACATAACTATGCTTACATTTAGTGTTTTTGGCATCTTCCTTCTATGAGTTGTCAATAAAAGTTTTTTGTAAATGTGTAGGATTCAATTTTTATGGAAGCTCATTTTTACCACTTAGAAGAAAAAAGTCAATATCTCAAAGATCTGTTTAAATTAAAAACGTGTAGTGGGATAACGTGTAATTTTTGGATGCACAGGACCAGTTCGTGTGGGCCAGATGCTGAAAAATAAATTCATAAATCTGTCTTTTTAACTTTCACAAATAAGAGAAAGGTTTCACAAATCACAAGCTATTTTTATGCATTCTGCTACAAGCCTAGAATAATCTAGAACAGGTTTGAAGAGTGTACGTGTTGTAGTATTTGAGCTAGAGCAGATTAAAAATGGTCAGAATAGAGAAAAATTGTGTGTATTAGCCATTTCCCGAATCGGAAGCTATCTAGCTTGTATGAAAACTAGTGATTGAAACCACTTACAAATTTCTGAAAATCTACGTTTTTTTAATTAAGAAAAAAGGGTATTAACGTTTCAGTCAAGTCAGTATTAGAATCGTGGTCTTTATACATGGACGTAATTTTCACTTTAGAAGTGTGTGTGTGTGTGGGGGGGGGGGGTGTATCTTTACAGTATGTTCTAATAGGAAACAGGCTTCAACACAAATGGTTGTTTTCTGCTTGGTCCTAGAGCTCAACCAGTGTCAATTATATATAGCATAATATTGTTTTTGGATGGTGGAAAGTGCAGGGGTCAAAGCTTGACTTTGGAAAAAGTGGGGGGGACATGCCCCCCCCCCCCCCCCCCCAATTTACGTCCATGTCTTTATATCACATCTAAATTATGTATAAAGTTAATATTATTACTTTAACTGTTTTAACAGACGGAGACCAGAAAAATCAAATAGCTAAGTTAAAGCTAAGCTACAATTGCTGACTGCTTTATACAGGTGCTGGCCAGTAAATTAGAATATCATCAAAAGGTTGAAGATATTTCAGTAATTCCATTCAAAACGTGAAACTTGTACATTATATTCATGCAATGCACACAGACCAATGTATTTCCAATGTTCATTACATTTAAATTTGATATTCATAAGTGACAACTAATGAAAACTCCAAATTTGGTATCTCAAAAAATTAGAATATTCTGAAAAGGCTGAATATAGAAGACGCCTGCTGCCACTCTAATCAGCTGATTTACTCAAAACACCTGCAAAGGCCTTTAAAAGGTCCCTCAGTCTTGTTTTGAAGGCACCACAATCATGGGGAAGACTTCTGACTTAACAGCTGTCCAAAAGACAATCATTGACACCTTGCACAAGGAGGGCAAGACACAAAAGGTGATTGCTAAAGAAGCTGGCTGTTCGCAGAGCTCTGTGTCCAAGCACATTAACAGACAGGCGAAGGGACGGAAAAAATGTGGTAGAAAAAAGTGTACAAGCTCTAGGGATAACCGCACCCTGCAGAGAATTGTGACGACAAACCCATTCAAAAATGTGGGGGAGATCCACAAAGAGTGGACTGCAGCTGGAGTCAGCGCTTCAAGAACCACCACGAGGAGACTCATGAAAGACATGGGATTCAGGTGTCGCATTCCGTGTGTCAAGCCACTCTTGAACAAGAAACAGCGCAAGAAGCGTCTCGCCTGGGCCAAGGACAAAAAGGACTGGACTGATGCTGAGTGGTCCAAAGTTATGTTTTCTGATGAAAGCAAGTTCTGCATTTCCTTTGGAAATCAAGGACCCAGAGTCTGGAGGAAGAGCGGAGAAGCACAGAATCCACGTTGCATGAGGTCCAGTGTAAAGTTTCCACCGTCAGTGATGGTGTGGGGTGCCATGTCATCTGCCGGTGTTGGCCCACTCTGTTTCCTGAGGTCCAGGGTCAATGCAGCCGTCTACCAGGAAGTTTTAGAGCACTTCATGCTTCCTGCTGCTGACCAACTTTATGGGGATGCAGACTTCACCTTTCAACAGGACTTGGCACCTGCACACAGTGCCAAAACCACCAGCACCTGGTTCAAGGACCATGGTATCCCTGTCCTTGATTGGCCCGCAAACTCGCCTGACCTTAACCCCATAGAAAATCTATGGGGTATTGTGAAGCGGAGGATGCAATACGCTAGACCCAACAATGCAGAGGAGCTGAAGACGACTATCAGAGCAACCTGGGCTCTCATAACACCTGAGCAGTGCCACAGACTGATCGAGTCCATGCCACGCCGCATTACTGCAGTTATTGAGGCAAAAGGAGCCCCGACTAAGTATTGAGTGCTATACATGCACATTCTTTTCATGTTCATTCTTTTCAGTTGGCCAACATTAGAGAAACAAACATTTTTTCATTGGCCTTTAGAATATTCTAATTTTCTGAGATACCAGATTTGATGTTTTCATTGGTTGTCACCTATAAATATCAAAATTAAACGTAATAAACATTGGAAATACATTGGTCTGTGTGCATTGCATGAATATAATGTACAAGTTTCACGTTTTGAATGGAATTACTGAAATATCTTCAACCTTTTGATGATATTCTAATTTACTGGCCAGCACCTGTATATGTAGCTTTTGTGTTAGCTTGTGAACTCCCTGCATTAGTTTTAAGACTGCGTGTTAATATTGATACAATTACAATTCTCTGGTGAAGCTTTAAATGCTATAGTGCCTACTTTTAAGAACTAAACGGTTACAACAATTAGTTAATTTCATCCTTACCTTTCCTCTTTGAAACTCGCCGAGTTTGGTTGAAACAAAAGCGGCCACCAAAAAAGACCAACTTCCGGCCGAGGTCTTTCGCTCGTCGATTTTCCGGTAAAAGTAATGACACGCCATCTTGTTCTCGCTAGAAAGTTCTTCCGGTGACACGCCGTCTGATGTCTGCAGCCAGGTTCTACTCATTTCTTTTGCACCCAGCTGCGAGTTAGAACCATCCACTCTCAAAAAATGTGTCCTAACCCTTACCCCAACCCTTATCCTAACCGTAACTCTGAATAAACATAAAAACTGTGCTACACATATTTTCAAAAACTATATTTATGCAAAACATACATTTCTGGTGCCGGGGTTAGGGTAAGGGTGAGGGTTATTTTTGTGATTGGGTCGTTTCCACTTGCTGCTGGGTGCAAAAGAAACAGATCTCGAGGGGTGAACACATCGACATTACACCGGCACCTCACGCGACCAACGTGTGCGCAGGGTTAAAATTACGAGTGAGCTGAAGGGAGCCTGGCTGACCCATAAAGGGTGACAGGCTCCCCTATAGATATGTATATAAACACGTGTTTATACACATATCTATGGGCTCCCCTGGAAGCCATCAACTTACACACCCAGGGGAGCCTGAAAAATATCCTGGTTCTACTTATATTACATTATTTATGCAGACTCTCCGGGGATTATTTTGAGCTGAGAGGCGCAGAGCCGGCGCACTGCGCGCACTCTGCTATTTTTATGGTTGGTAGATCGCTGAGGTGAAAACATGAAGCCAGGTAGCAGTTTTTCTTTGGGATTGAGAGGAGATGCAGGAAGATGATAGACAGGACAGAAAAATAGTCAAATAAAAAACAAAACAGTGTTTGAAAAGGTTCATTTAGGTAGATTTATCCCACTACACGTTTTTACTTTCTAAGGCAATAATTTATAAGCACGTAATACCCTACCCTCGTAAGACCATTAGGCATTTCGAGGGCCATGGCAAGAATAAAGCCACTTTCAGTGCGTCTTTGTGAAATATTGGTTTAATTTTTTTCTCTCGGATGGTCCTGCTGAGAGACAGCTGCTTTCTTTTTTCTTAATCCGGTGGACGTTCAGTGTTTTGCTGAGACAGCTTATGTGCTGCCGTTTTGGGCGCTATTTGTACCTGGTGTTTGCAACAAACAGACACCACCGAGGGTGGTCATTACACAGAGTGAGGATGTCATGACTCCCAATCTTTCAGCCTTCATGCAGCACACCTGGTCCCCTCATCAAGCTCCAGCCAAGCCCTGTTTCCCTAGCAACCTCAGCCTGCACCTCATCTACTCCATTCATCTCACTTGTTCCTCCTTCTTTATGAGAACCATCCAGCTATCCAGTCACTGCCAGATTATTGAACGCCATTTGCTAGTAAATCTTCCAGCCATTCACCCTGCCTCGTCTCAGTCTCCGGACCTCGTTTTCTCGCCTGACCCCTGCCTTGTACTCTGCCTGCCATCACGACCCTCACCTGTCCTCTACCTCGTCTCCAGCCTGTTCCCTGTACCTGCTTGTCCGATCTGGTTTTGCACCTCACCTCCTCTCCGACTCTGTCTCCTGCCTCGCCCTCTACGGTAACGTCATATCTAATAAAGACTTGTAAGGAACTTTACTGTGTTTGGCGTCACTACTGGTCTTCTGAGTTCTGTTCGTGACAGAGGAACAGAAAATTAAATTATTCTTTCAATGTTTAGAGCACCAGGGAACTCAGAGGCTGCATGCACACTAGGGAGTTTGCGGCCACTGCGACACACTCCACACCACGGCAGCGCCTAGAAATTCTGTCCATAAAGGTAATGAACAGAACCGGTGACAAAGGGCAGCCCTGGCGGAGTCCAACCCTCACCGGGAACAGGTCCGACTTACTACCGGCTATGCGGACCAAACTCACGCTCCTCTGGTAAAGGGACTGAATGGCCCTTAACAGAAAGCCACCCACCCCATACTCCTGGAGTGTCCCCCACAGGGTGCCCCTGGGGATACGGTCATAAGCCTTCTCCAAATCCACAAAACACATGTGGAATGGTTGGGCAAACTCCCATGCCCCCTCCATCGCCCTTGCAAGGGTATAGAGCTGGTCCACAGTTCCACGGCCAGGACGAAAACCACATTGTTCCTCCTCAATCAGAGATTCAACTATCGATCGGACCCTCCTCTCCAGTACCTTGGAGTAGACCTTTCCAGGGAGGCTGAGGAGTGTGATCCCCCTATAGTTGGAACACACCCTCAGGTCACCCTTCTTAAAGATGGGGACCACCACCCCGGTCTGCCACTCCACAGGAACTTCCCCCGATGACCACGCAATGTTGCAGAGACGTGTCAACCATGACAGCCCTACAACATCCATAGC